CCAAGACTGACAACACTGTGTCACAAAAGGACAGTGTCTGAACCAAGACTGACATCACTGTGTCACACAAGGTCAGTGTCTGAACCTAGACCGACATCACTGTGTCACACAAGGTCAGTGTCTGAACCTAGACCGACATCACTTTGTCACACAAGGTCAGTGTCTGAACCTAGACTCACATTCTGTCACAATGGGACAGTGTCTGAACCTGTCCCGTGAAGAATAGGTCTTCAGCAACCCATGCTTGCCTAACAGGCGACTGTGCTTGTCGCAAGAGGCGACTAACGGGATCAGGTGGTGTGGATCGCTGACTTGTTTCTTGCATGTCACCGTATCCCAATTGCGTGGATCGATGTTCATGATGTCAATCACTGGATTGTCTAGTCCACTTTACATATTTCGAAATTGAAACCTTCAAATTGTTTCCGATGATCTCAGTAACACCCTCAAACATTTGGTAACAGTGTTACGTGAAGGTTGTAGTTCTAACTAATATTTCCTGCTGTAGTTTTTAGTCTGTCTTACAGACCCTGATACAAATATATCAACTACAGCCCATGCAAGTCTATAATGTTTGGCAAGTCTAGATTACTGCAGTATGAAAATGAAGAGAATCACTGGGCTCCCTTTTTATTAAATTTTTATTAAGATAACTGAGCAACTGTTTTTTCTGTACAATATGTTCATTTCAGAGACTATATGTTAGTCTAGCTGTAGTTTTGAATTTTGCAAAAGAACAGGTTATAACGCTGTATTGATGAAATGTATAGCCCGATTAGTTTCACAGGCGACAATGCAAAAATATGGATTGACGAACGTAGACGGACAATCGCATGGTTGACATGATACAAATGTATATTCTACATGGCAGTCCTAAGCTCGTATGTTCATCTTGATAAGAGTTAATAATAGTCATCAAGTTTTACCCAAAGGCTGGAGACTTAAAGTGTCACGTGACCTAACTGCGCCAATATGAAATTACCACGTGACAATTCACCATCCTGTCCCATGAGCCACCAAATGGCTGACCTATTGCCGATGCGACTCAACATTTCTGATCGACTGTATCTCACAAGAAAACATGAGTAAACGAAAGCGTCCAGTGTTTCTGTCACACAAAGCTCACAGTCGCGCCGTTCATTAAATGAACGTTTGATGGATACCTTTAAAAAGCCACGACTGACGTCACGGTTTCCAGCTGGGCTCTGCGTCTCAACCTACGTCATTTCAATGTTGAGTTGAGCTTCCAGGTGCTCGTCTGTAGAATCACTACTAAGTAGAAACAATGATGTATGATCAATAATTCTGCCGGAGATAGTTAGTTATATGGATTGATTACTTGTTTCGAAATGACAAATTGAATTGTTAGCAAATATGAAAAAGCTTCCTTAATGCATTGATAATGTTGATGATGAGTGAGTGAGTTGAGCTTAACGCCGCTTTTAACAATATTACAGTTATATCGCGGCGTGTCAGCTTAATGTGGGAGGAAAAGCCCGAAGTGATGCAGGTCTCAGACGTTTACCCCTTCGGTGAAACCCACGAGTACGGGTATGGTGCTGACAAACCTAGAAACATAATCGGGGCGAACGGGGATTCGAACCCACAATCATAGGTTTCCGGCGTGCCCAAGGAAAGCAACTCTGCACAGCAAATCGCGGCGCCTTAGACCACTGGGCCCCCCGTGCCCCCCGTTGATAATGAATAGGTTTGAGATAAAATAGCTGGAGCTGTTGATTTAATGTTTTTGTTTCCTGTTGTCATTGAACATTCATGCTGACAAGACATCCTCCGTGGTCTAGAGGATAGGGCGTCCGCCCGGTCGAAGGTCGGTGGTTTGATCCAGGCCGCGTGGAAACCAAGAGACGTTAAAAGATAGTGCTTGTTGTTACCCTGCCTGCTGTTCCGCATTAAGGGGATAAAACAAGGACTCATCTGATCGAAGGCAGTAAACTGTGCCTGAGTGGGTATCCTTGTTAAATTGCGGCATGGTATCTCAGTGGGCTAGCACTATAAAACCGGCATTAGACCAGGTCTTGTACAGGACCGAGCCACGCACACACACATACATGCACGTTGCTATCTAACTCAATATTTTTGAAAGTTAAACACCCTGTCACATCACCTACTGTCAACAGACCCTCGAAGCCACGCTTACCAGCCTCCCCGTAGCCACGGTTACCAGTCTCACGTGAGAATACGGGTTAGAAATAGGTTAAAATTTCCAGTAACCTTAAATATGCCTCGGTGACTTGTTTGACTATGTGTCATCGGTACGAGACAGTGCACGTATATCAATCACTGGATTGTCTGATCATATAGCTGGAATATTGGCGACGGCGTAAAATAACAAACAAATAAGTTAGCAGTCACAACATACATCAATATCACAATATAATCCTCTCGTTCCTCGTTAAAACAAGTACGCACCCCTCCCTCCCCAAACAAAGACTGCTTATTGAGAATTAATGAACCTACATCCACAAAACAGCACGGTACCCGACATTTTTGATTGACGCTACTGTTTTCCATTCTTCATTAAATTAAGTAATTGCTAATTAGGACAAAGCATTTCGCGACTGTATTGATTGGACGTGTTCAGTTAAAATGGACCACACTCGCTGAGAATAAGACGATTTATACCTGCGTGAAGCCTAGATAATTCAGCAAGCATCCTGTGTTGCCATGGAAACGAAACAAACCGAGAATAAATAGATTCTCCGCGTGTTGTGACCGACATTGCAGGTCAAACTCGTATGATGCGTGTTTGTAATTAACGGAAAGAGGAGTATGTCTGTATAGCAAAGGGAGATGACTGGTACATGAGCATGTATGTTTGGTAGCGTTTGTGTCGAGATGAATCTGGACTGCCGATGACCGAGAAGAGATTAAGTCGACAACTGTTATTGTGTGGTTAAGTAGTCCCAAATTCAGAATATGTCAAAAATATACGTGCAATATAGGCTTAGTGCGTGATTGTGTAGGTACATCCATGACGATGTAAGTGTAAATATATATCATTGACAATGATAATGTTTCAACGATGACTCTGTAAATGTGTACGTTAATGACGGTGATACTGTGTACATCCATGACAGTGACGGTGGGTACGTCCTTGTCAATGACAGTGCGTACATCCATGACGGTGTGTACGTTCATGACGGTGAAAGTGTGTACATCCATGACCGTGTGTACGTCCATGACGGTGTGTACGTTCATGACGGTGAAAGTGTGTACGTCCATGTCGGTGTGTATGTCCATGACGGTGAAAGTGTAAATATATAGCATTGACAATGATAATGTTTCAACGATGACTCTGTAAATGTGTACGTTCATGACGGTGATACTGTGTTCATCTATGACAGTGACGGTGGATACATCCATGTCAATGACAGTGCGTACATCCATGACGGTGTGTACGTTCATGACGGTGAAAGTGTGTACATCCATGACCGTGTGTACGTCTATGACGGAGTGTACGTTCATGACGGTGAAAGTGTGTACGTCCATGTCGGTGTGTATGTCCATGACGGTGAAAGTGTAAATATATATCATTGACAATGATAATGTTTCAACGATGACTCTGTAAATGTGTACGTTCATGACGGTGATACTGTGTTCATCCATGACAGTGACGGTGGATACATCCATGTCAATGACAGTGCGTACATCCATGACGGTGTGTACGTTCATGACGGTGAAAGTGTGTACATCAATGACCGTGTGTACGTCCATGACGGTGTGTACGTCCATGACGGTGTGTACGTTCATGACGATGATACTGTGTACGTCCATGACGGTGATAGTGTGAACGTCCATGACCGTGTGTACGTTCATGACGGTGATATTGTGTACGTCCATGACGGTGATAGTGTGAACGTCTATGACGGCGTGTACGTTCATGACGGTAATAGTGTGAACGTCCATGACGGTGATAGTGTGAACGTCCATGACGGTGAAAGAGGGTACGTCCCTGACGGTGATAGTGTGTACGTCCATGTAGGTGTGTACGTCCATGACGGTGTGTACGTCCATGACGGTGTGTTCGTTCATGACGGTGAAAGTGTGTACGTCAATGTTGGTGTGTATGTCCATGACGGTGAAAGTGTAAATATATAGCATTGACAATGATAATGTTTCAACGATGACGGTGTAAATGTGTACGTTCATGACGGTGATACTGTGTACATCCATGACAGTGACGGTGGATACATCCATGTCAATGACAGTGCGAACGTCCATGACGGTGTGTACGTTCATGACGGTGTGTACGTTCATGACGGTGATATTGTGTACGTCCATGACGGTGATAGTGTGTACGTCCATGACGGTGATAGTGTGTACATCCATGACGGTGGTAGTATGAACGTCAGTGACGGGGTGTATGTCCATAATGGTAACGGGGTGTACGTCCACGACTGTGATGTTTATACGTCCATGACGGGGGTGGTGTATTCTTCATAACGGTGAAAGTATACTTTAAAGATTCACTCACTTCCTTTGGCTGTTGAAATATTGATGAATAAAGTGTAAGTTCAGTTATAAACTAAGAATGTCGCATAAACTATAACTTGAGTCAACTACTGCTTCTTGTGGCTAGTGATATATTGATTATTTCTCTTCATACAGTTAGTGATTTGAGTCTATTCCATTTCGCTCTATATCTTATATTTACGTTATACTTATATTTTTTGTTCTCTTATCATATTCTCTGGAAATCCTAACGTATGTTAATACAAACCTGACTTTATTAAATACAGGATATATATATATATATATATATATATATATATATACTTGCCCGTGCCTACAGACGCGTGTCAACACTCCGCCTTGTGTTGGAATGCTGTTATATACAAGGGCTAATTACGCTAATAGACATGACAGTTTGCTGACTAAATACAGCAGAGCTACAGCGCTCCAGTGCTGTGACCATATCGTCCGCGCACCTGTCTGCACCACGTGACAAGTCTGCGACACACAGCTTCATCAGACGCCAATAGACCCGGCAGGAAGGATGAACGCTAAAGGTCTGCCTGGATTAGAAGGTAACGCACATATTGACATTAGTGAAACACGATCAACGCACGTCAGTCATGTTCGTCTGTTTTTACAATTAGAACAAATGTTTTCAAATCAAAAGGCCATTTTTTTAATTGATTTCAACAAACGGTGATGGATGACCCGTGACAAAGTTGCTGTATCAATATCATAAAATCAGATCTTTACTCCGATACGATACCATTCACACAGAGAAGTTTTGTGTAGGAATACAAAATCTGATTTTATAAGATTATTGCTGTATAATGTTCATCAATATATGCGCCTCCTCTCAGACTACAGGAGGCGCCCGTTAAGATCTGGTTAATATGTAGACTGTCAAGGGTTTCGTCTTTACTATACGACTAATGCGGAGCGGGTCCATGTTAATGTAAGTAAAACTGTTAGTGTCAGTGGAACATGTATGCTTTCGCTGAAGAACATCAAATGTTTTGCCCATCAAAGAATGCCCTTGTTATATGACTGATTACAGACAGTATTCATGTCAATGTATGCGATCATACTGTTCGCGTCAGTGAAACTCCATGGACAATGTCTAGACGCTGCGTGCCACTGTGGAATCGCAACACAGGCCATGTTTTATCTAGACCTACTTAGAGGCCTAAACTCGGTCCGGGGTCTGCAGCAAGACCGTAAAAAAACCAAATAGGCATTGAACATTTCCCAATTCATGTGTCATGTTTATAAGTGATGTTATAGTCTGTGTAGAGGTGACTTGTATGTCACTGATAACAGGACCAATACATCGAAAGAGGCTTTAATGCTTAGTGAGTGAGTGAGTGAGTGAGTGGGTGAGTATGGTTTTACGCCGTTTTAAGCAATATCCCAGCAATATCACGACAGGGGACACCAGAAACGGGCTTCGCACATTGTACCCATATGGTGAATTGAACCCGGGTCTTCGGGGTGACGAGCGAACGCTTGAACCACCAGGCTACCCGATCGTCCCTTTTAGTGCTTAGTGTTACAGTGTTAAAATTGAATGCTAATATCACTTAATTATTTTTTTTATAAACATAAAGACTTTATCCAATTTGTCTGCCAAAGGCACTTAGTTTGGAATCCGAGATAAATCCTTGCATATACGTTCGTGATGTCTCGCTTGGCGGCAACACTCATGTCAGCCAACTCCGTCCATGTATTGTTGAGAAAATACCATGTGCTGCAGTCCTCTTCACGTTTGTCACAAGCGGCGGCTCGACCGTTAGGTTGATCGTTGTTGTTTCTGTATGGTTGATGTGAGTTTAAGAGTAAGGTCCTGAGTTAGTGAGTTTGGTTTTACGCCGCTTTTAGCAATATTCCAGCAATATCACGGCGGGGGACACCAGAAATGGGCTTCACACATTGTACCCATGTCGGGAATCGAACCCGGGTCTTCTGCGTGACGAGCGAACGCTTTAACCACTAGGCTACCCGACCGCCCCGTAAGGTCCTGAAGGAGCATCTGTGATTAACTCCCGAGATGTACGGCCGCCTTTATCGGCAAGAAGATGTATTTCTGCGTTAATTCCTTCTCGGTGTTAATGATAAAACGGTGGTCATGTCGCCAAAGGCTTCGGAGTTAGCTTTGCAGAGTTGCGTTCCATGGACGTACCAGAATCCAATGATCGTGGTTTTAAACCAGTTTCGCCCTGATTAATGTGGGAGGAAAGGGTTTGTCAACACCATAACCGTTTAGCGACGTCATCAAGCTGGAGTGACTGCAACCAAGACTTAGTAATGAGTGGTATGATGCATGATATCCATGAAGTTGCACGTCTACTTATTTATTCACTGCGGGCACGGGTGGCCCAGATGTCTAAGGCGCCGCAATTCGCTCTGCAGAGTTGAGTCCCTTGGACACGCCAGAAACCTATGATCGTGCGTTCAAGTCCCGGTTCGTTTCGATTATGTGTCTAAGGTCATATATCCGTGCACATTTGTTATCACCAAAGTGGTAAAAGTCTAAGACCTGCATCATTTCGGATTTCCTCCCACATCAAGCTGACACGCCGTATAAAACTGGAATACCCTTCAAGACACCGTGATATATGTGCAATACTGTTCAAATCGACGTTAACCTCATCTTATTATTAACTCACCAACGTCTAGAATGAGAAGCGGTGTAAAACCATACTCACTCACTCACTCAGTGAAATAACATCCACTCAAATGTTGCGACTGTCTTTCACATGTCACTTGCCGCATCTCCCTGTGTTCGGTGTTCTCTAGATCGCTATCACTGGTCGGCAAACCGTTCATACAGACGTTGTCGCCTACACGTGGAGACGTTCACGACGTCGTCTCTCTGAGGTATCAACCCATGCTTGGTAGTCTTAAAATGAAATCACAGATAATGTCGTCCTATATATCAAGTGCACTGAGGCAGTGAGGTTGTGATGGAACTGTTTGCTTCATTGGTACCGACAATAAAGTACAAGCGATGCCAGTATTTCGATAATACTACGAGAAGTACTTGTGTTATAGGCACGCTGGTGCCAACTTTGACGTTTCTGCGTTAGAATATCGACAAACGCTATGTTACATCAGAAAAGTGGATTGAAATGGTTAAGCTGTTTTCTCATTTCTCCAAACGAAATGTCCTTGTACCATGAAATCATTGTATTGAGTGGACACGCCCAGGTATGAGCGTCATAACTCGTCAAGGATGAAATCCATACAGAAATACTACAGAAGACACAGCAAACATCCCGCTCTCCGCCAGCTCACAATACATCAATGGATCTGACAGAAGCTCATCAGTGAAGTCCTTCGGGCAATTACAGTCTCAAGTTCCCGATAGCTGCTGAGTACTTGGTTAAGCCTGCGTGTGTGTATGTTCGTCGCATCTTCATCGATTCTAGATTCACATTTATCATTTGAGTACAGTATGCCTGTTGTGACACGGGGATACAAGGACGGGGTATGATGTATTGTTATGGGATATAGTAATAACTCAGTATGTAATTGTCAGCCGTGTACTACGGATAACCGTGTCTGGAAAGATAACATAAGTTATGGAAACACAATGTCTAAATGGATAACACAGTATCTAAATGGATAACACCGTATCTAAATGGATAACACAGTATCTAAATGGATGACAAAATGTCTAAAGGGATAATACGGTATCTACATGGATGATACAATGTCTAAATGGATGACAAAATGTCTGAAGGGATAACACGGTATCTACATGGATAACACAGTATTTAAATGGATGACAAAATGTCTAAAGGGATAACACGGTATCTACATGGATGATACAATGTCTGAATGGATGACAAAATGTCTGAAGGGATAACACGATATCTTCATGGATGATACAATGTCTAAATGGATGGCAAAATGTCTGAAGGGATAACACGGTATCTACATGGATGATGCAATGTCTAAATGGATGACAAAATGTCTAAAGGGACAGCACGGTATCTACATGTATAACACCGTATCTAAATGGATAACACCGCATCTAAATGGATAACACGGTATCTACATGGATGACAAAATGTCTAAAGGGACAGCACGGTATCTACATGGATAACACAGTATCTTAATGGATAACACAGTATCTAAATGGATGACAAAATGTCTAAAGGGATAACACGGTATCTACATGGATGATACAATGTCTAAGTGGATGACAAAATGTCTAAAGGGATAACACGGTATCTACATGGATGATACAATGTCTAAGTGGATGACAAAATGTCTAAAGGGATAACACGGTACCTACATGGATGATGCAATGTCTAAATGGATGACAAAATGTCTAAAGGGATAACACGGTATCTACATGGATGACACCGTATCTAAATGGATAACACGGTATCTACATGGATGACAAATTGTCTAAAGGGACAGCACGGTATCTACATGGATAACACAGTATCTAAATGGATAACACAGTATCTAAATGGATGACAAAATGTCTATAGGAACAATACGGTATTTACATGGATGATACAATGGCTAAATGGATGTTACAATGTAGAAATGGATAACACAGAATCTAAATGGATGTGACAATGTATCCATGGATGTTACAATGTCTAAATGGATGTTTCAATGTATAAATGGATGACACAATATAAAAATGGATAACTGAGTATCTAAATGGATGATACAATGTCGAAATGGATGGTACAATGTCTAAATGGATGTTACAATGTCTTAATGGATGACACAATGTAAAAATGGATAACTGAGTATCTAAATGGATGATACAATGTCGAAATGGATGGTACAATGTATCAATGGATGACACAATGTAAAAATGGATAACACAGTATCTAAATGGATGATACAATATATAAATGGATGTTACAATGTCTAAATGGATGTTACAATGTCTAAATGGATGAAACAATGTAAAAATGGATAACTGAGTATCTAAATGGATGATACAATGTCGAAATGGATGGTACAATGTATCAATGGATGACACAATGTAAAAATGGATAACACAGTATCTAAATGGATGATACAATATCTAAATGGATAATACAATGTCTAAATGGATGTTACAATGTCTAAATGGATGTTACAATGTCTAAATGGATGACACAATGTAAAAATGGATAACAGTATCTAAATGGATGATACAATATCTAAATGGATGATACAATGTCTAAATGGATGTTACAATGTATCAATGGATGTCACAATGTCTAAATGGATGACACGGTATCTAAATGGATGATACAATGTTTACATGGATGATACAATATCTTAATAGATGTTACAATGTAAAATGATTGACACAATGTAAAAATGCTTGAAAATTTGAAAATGTATGGTTCAATGTGAAAATGGTTAGCACAGTGTAAACATGGTATGAAACAGTTGATTTGACGAATAATTTTAGAATACTACTACTTTTACAGTCATTGTCGGAAGGCGTATTTAAATACTTATATGTACAATTACATTCGATAAAATGCAAAGTTGCGGTTACGACAATATTCAAGGGATGTGTGGCGTTATGTTTCGTGCAAAACAAAATACGATAGAAATCTTCAAAGAGAATGTATTTCAAACTTGCTATTTGCCGCGGATTAAAGCGATCGCTCGTCACGCCGAAGACCGGGTTCGATTCCCGACATTGGTACAATGTGTGAAGCCCATTTCTGGTGTCCCCCACCGTGATATTGCTGGAATATTTCTAAATGCAGCCTTAAATCATACTCACTCGATCACTATATACGACTGTGACGTCATATATATAAGATAAGCTCCGACGTTCATACAATGTTTGGCCCTCACTCTATGAAGGTTCATACTCCAATGAACTCACACAAAGTGAAAGTCAATTCTTATAATTTTTGTATCACAATTTCTTACCTTAAAGGATGTAGGCCAAGGCCTAAACACAATTTTATTTAGTACGTGTGACTTCATGTCTACACTGACAGCCATACAACAACCAGCTATATCGCGGAGTAAAATAGTTCCTCAAAAAGAGAGGTGACATGAGCGTATAGATGCACAACTTGCTCTTCAGAAACATCTTACGCAGCAAATGTGTTCAAATCATATCCTCATTAGATGAGAAAGTTCTGTAAAGAACTACCTCAGTAAGTCAGTCACAATGAAAGCACTTCGTAAAACATTTACATCAAGTACATGACGTCAATATGGCCGACACGATAAACGTGACGGGAGAAATTTCCGAAGTTGTTAATGAACCTGTGGCGATTACATGTGTTAGTCATCATTGATCAACTGGCCGATCATTGAAAGGTGAATAAAGATGCGTCAAACAGACACTAAGGTAAATTCATAGATTGCTGGAGACAGTCAGTGTCAGCCGAAGACACGGATCGAGTCGATACTCCCGATAGTTTAGATGTGCATTTCTTCGTTTGTTCATTAGGATAGGCCGTAGCGAGGATATTCGTGAACAATCATGCAGTCACGCTCTCTGACATTTCTCAATGTATACTGAAACGCTGAGACCAAGAATAAAGGTTCTTAATGATCAGAAAGAACACTGTGGAAGTAGTCCGTCAGTGGTTACGTCATTTCAAGAACACAAATTGTGTCGTTCATACACCTATGAACGTCAATTCACGGTCATGTGACCGACCTCTCGTCCAGTGGAAAAGCCGTATATCGTGTAAACTTCAAATTAAAAAATTATCTTACGTTACATTGAGCGATATGACGTCATAATAGTGACGCGCGGTGAACGAAGGCTTTGCAAGGCTTGCTTACGATTATCGTAGCTCTACGATCGCTTTGTGGAACGGTGTCCTGTGTTCTGTGAATCCCCAATGATCGTTGATATACAGCGTTGATATATGTTCAAACAATTCTTACGAATAAAATCTGTATTCAACCTTGTATTTTCAGTGTTATTCCGGGAACAGACTCGACTGTCGAAGAAGCTGAGCGTGGATGAGTTGGCGGCTGTTAGACGCTACATAGAACAACGGGTGACATTCGAAAACCAGAGTCTTCTGTTCAAACTCCGCCACCTCAAGTCCACACAGGATCTCAGTGAGAGGGAATATGAGCGATCCCTAACTACGCTGCAGCGAGAGTTGGATAAAGAAAAATGGATTGCTCAAGAGTTTCAGCGAGAGTTTGGAAGTCTCGCGAGAGTTCTTCAACAACGAGATGAAAGATATCGCATGAAGAACGACACATTGATCTCTGATTTGAAAAAGGCGAGACGTACTTTGTCTAGCGTCGATGACATGAAAGAAAGGATGAATAACGAAATTAAACAGAAAGACTGTGTTATTAAAGAGCAAGAACTGAAAATGAATCAGCTGAGGGATAATAACAGGAAACGGTATGAGATAGTGGAACTGAAATATTCCGAAGAGAGAGACAAAATGAATAAAGAAATATTGCGATTGAAATATATGTTAGATGAGAAGAATAAGGAAATAACAAATCTCAAAATAGATTTGTATGAACGAAAGATGGTGGAGAAAAACGTGCGGTTCAAGGACACTTATTGTGACGCTGGCATGTGCAAAGCACGTGCAGACCTAGACCAATGTCGGACCCAGCTTGTCCACAAATGTACAGAAATAACGTCCCTGAACTTCCAGATCGAGCAAGGCAAACAGAAGATCCGCGAGCAGGCCAAGCTGCTGGACTATCTCTCCCCCGTGTTGAGACAGAGAGACGATGCCAGGAACAACCATTGCTCCAACACACGGGCGAGGAGGCTGACGGCTTACACTCTCTCCAGCGTCAGGAAATCAGGCTCTAGGATTTGATAGAGAGGTGGGACTTCATGTACTCCCTCCAGTGTCAGAACATCAGTGTCATGGTGACAGAGAGGTGTGGCTTCGTGTACACCAGTCATGATGTGTGTACCGTTTTCACGGAAAGGAAAATATGAAGCTAGAAAGTTTCAAAGGTTTCCAAAGCGACATGTAAATAGACATCTGCAGTTCGTTGAGGTGAGATTTCGGCCGACTCACAAAGGTGATGTGATCAACCCGCGGCGGTGATTTCATGATATTAGCATTGACATGCAGAGCTGTTATTAAACTCTTTACTCTAAATAGTTTTCAAAGTTAAGGACTTTTGAATTTTCGATATTTTAAAAAGAGAATTGCAATGGCTCAGTGTTGTTCCATCATCCCATCTGTATCATGAGCAGTTTGCATTATTATGTCGTGTTCGTTGAAATAAACACACCGATTTGATTACAATGTTCTTGTGTTATTGTATACGTGTGTACTGTCCAGGCATTGTATTGGACTGTACCATGCGGGATGATGAGATAGGACAGTAGAGAAAACTCTGGTTCGTCACACTGAGCGAGTGAGTATGGTTTTGGTTCGTCACATTGAGTCACTTCCTCGTCACTCAACCAGGTCACACTGTCAATTCCTTGTCACTTAATCAAGTAACTTTGTCACTTTCTTGTGACTCAGCCAGGTCACATTGTCAGTTCCTTGTCACTCAACCAGGTTATGTTGTCAGTTCCTTGTCACTCAACCAGGTTATGTTGTCACTTCCTTGTCACTCAACCCGGTCACATTGTCAGTTCCTTGTCACTCAACCAGGCTCATTGTCACTTCCTTGTCACTCAACCAGGTCACATTGTCACCTCCTTGTCACTCAACCAGGTCACATTGTCACTTCCTTGTTACTCAACCAAGTAACTTTGTCACCTCCTTGTCACTTAACCAGGCCACATTGTCACTTCCTTGTCACTCAACCAGGTCACATTGTCAGTTCCTTGTCACTCAACCAAGTAACGTTGTCACTTCCTTGTCACTCAGCCAGGTCCTATTGTCACTTCTTTGTCACTCAACCAGATCACATTGTCACTTCTTTGTCACTCAACCAGGTCACATTGTCACTTTTTTGTTACTCATTCAGGTCACATTGTCACTTCCTTTTCACTCAACCAGATCACACTGTCACTTCCTTTTTTCACTCAACCAGGTCACACTGTCACTTTCTTGTCTCTTTCTGGGGGAATTGAATAATTTAACTTCGCCTTGCTTTTTAACCGACATTAATCTATTGTTATAGATGTTCTTGTTCTAAACCTGATAACAATACTCATATTCTATCAGCTATATAGTCAAGGTATTTATTCATATGTAAAGCTATTTAAGCAAGATTTTACATTTTTACAGGTTTAACATCTCATCTCTATCAACACCGTATAACATGTACCACGTATCCTGTATCATGGTTCAGGAAGACCATGTGTCGCTGGTGACTGCACAGATCTCCTGGAGGATTCCATCCTCGGGTGTAGCGGGGACAAAAAGGATAAATACAGTAAACTACGGTTATAACGAACACGCTTATAACGAACTGACGGATATAACGAACTACTTTTTTGGTCCCAATAATTAGCTGTATTATGCTGTATATATGCTTATAACGAACTACGGTTATAACGAACTAAAATAAGAAGTCCCTTTGAGTTCGTTATAACCGTACTTTACTGTATTTGCCTTTCTCTACACGTCAAGATCCTTTCAACACACCCTGAGATCCTTTCAACACACCCTGAGATCCTTTCAACACACTCTGAGATCCTTTCAACACTCCCTGAGATCCTTCCTGTGCCCCTTGGCATGCCCCGTGATACGCTTGAGTTACGCTGCCGAAGTTGGTCATTTCGGTTTACTCTCACTTTGCCAGCAGGCTGGGGAGATTAACATGTACGGTCATGTGACTTGCCAGCTATAGCCTGTTCTCATTATCTGAGCTCCTTCATGACTTAGCTGTGACCCACTGTGAGCCAAACTTAACTAATGAAGTGAACTGTGTTCAGCTTAACAGATATTAAGCTATATTATATTGTCTTGAAAATTTGTACATCTGTACATAAATGTAATTTTTAATTAATAATTAATAAAAACCTATACTACTACATACATTTTGTGTGTTATATCTACCTAGACAGGCTGTAGTCTGGCTATAGTCAGTCAGTGAAAGTGAAACAGTCTATAGTGTTAATCCCCATTGTTGTAGGGATTATCACGGGCTACTGATTTTTAAACTAGAACAATAGCTGCTGGCAAAGTGAGAACGCCTGTGTGTACCCTCGTAAAATAATGTACCCGAATTGGCCACTATACACTTGTGTATTCCCTGTCACGTTATATTGGCTAACCACTGATATGTCACGGTACACCGTTGTGACAAAAATCATGAGTGTGTAACTGTACACTTCTTGTGTCACTTTACATCCATGCCAATATACACGGGTGTGTCGCAATACACTAGCTTGCCACTTCAGACCTGGGTTTCACTATACACGTTTTTGACACTTCACACCTATGTGTCACTATACACTCGCATGACGTTTTACATAGGTGTGTCAGTGTCACTATACACTTGTGTGGCACTATGCACCTGTATGTCACTTTACATTTGCGTGTCACGTGACGCCAGTATGCCACATTGTACTGTTATCTCCCGTGATCCTGGTGTTAAACTTCACGCACGGTGTGTCGGAATGGATTAGCGTGAAACTATGCTTCATTATATCACTCTGTTCTGTGAAAATGTCCATCAATTGTGCGTTCCATTGAAATCATGAAAAAGAGGCTAAGCATGTTATTAACTCACTCCAGTAGCCCAATCCTCTTTGCCAATCAATCACTCACTGCCTTTTCCCCCGTCTTCTTCTTCTCCTCCTGCTCGAGTAGCCCTACCCTCATGGCCAGCTCACTCACTCACACATTCACTCACTCACTCACTCACTCATTCACTCACTCACTCACTCACTGCCTTTCACCCGTCTTCTTCTTCTCCTCCTGTTCCAGTAGCCCTACCCTCTTGGTCAGCTCACTCACTCACATACTCACTCACTCACTCACTCACTCACTCACTCACTGCCTCTTCCCCCTTCTTCTACTTCTCCTCCTGCTCCAGTAGCCCTACCCTCCTGGCCAGCTCACTCACTCACTCACTCACTCACTCACTCACTGCCTCTTCCCCCTTCTTCTATTTCTCCTCCTGTTCCAGTAGCCCTACCCTCTTGGCCAGCTCGCTCACTCACTCACTCACTCACTCACTCACTCACTCACTCACTGCCTTTCCCCCCTTCTTCTACTTCTCCTCCTGCTCCAGTAGCCCTACCCTCCTGGCCAGCTCACTCACTCACTCACTCACTCACTCACTCACTCACTGCCTCTTCCCCCCGTCTTCTTCTTCTCCTCCTGTTCCAGTAGCCCTACCCTCCTGGCCAGCTCACTCACTCACTCACTCACTGCCTTTTCCCCCTTTTTCTTCTTCTCCTCCTGCTCCAGTAGCCCTACCCTCCTGGCCAGCTCACTCACTCACTCACTCACTGCCTCTTCCCCCGTCTTCTCCTCCTCCTCCAGTAGCCCTACTCTCCTGGCCAGCTCACTCACTCACTGCCTTTTCCCCCTTCTTCTCCTCCTGCTCCAGTAGCCCTACCCTCCTGGCCAGCTCACTCACTCACTCACTCACTGCCTCTTCCCCCGTCTTCTCCTCCTCCTCCAGTAGCCCAACCCTCTTGGCCAGCTTGCGGAACTTGTAGCGGACCTCCTCCTGCATGAGGTGGAAGCACATGGCCTGCATGGCCATCCCGAACAGCAGGTACAGGCAGCACATCACCAGCTTCTCCTGGCTGCCCCACGAGTCGATGCTGCTCCCCGGGACGTAGTCGCCGAAGCCGATGGTGCTCAGTGTGATGAAGCAGAAGTAGGAGGCGATCAGGAAGTCCCAGTCCTTCTCCCACAATGCAAACATTATAGCGCCACCTATGATGTATCCGGTCATGATGAAGAGTGTTATCGACACTGGGACGCGAACCTCCGTCAGCTTAGTATGAACTGGCTCTTCGTCTAAGGGAGATAACTCTCCTTCAGTTTCATAGCACGTTATTTCTCGAGATTCCGATTCAACTGGTTGCTTGTTTTCATCTTCGGCTAGGAGTTCTGAATTATGGTCGGTTTTGACGTTCTCCCCGCAGGCCTCAGCGGTTCCCCCGTTCATCTGACGACTCCATTTCCTGGCTCTCTCGGCAGCTTCTCGTATCTTCGATAATCTGCGAGACTTCCGCATCCTTCGTTTGAGGAGTAGCCATCTGCTCATGAGCCCTAAACAAGCATGTTTATAGACAAGCTTGACGCAGGAACTGAGCAAGGAGCCGATGTTCCGGAGACACAGAAACGTGAGGGGGATGCCGACGATTGCGTAGACGATAGTGACGATCCGACCCCAGCTGGTCTTCGGTGTGATGTGGCCATAACCTGTCAATAAAGTAATGGGGAGTGTTATAGTAGTTTATACATACAAGCGAGCAGGGGACTTTGAGAAATGTGCCTTCAAAATGTTGTTTTTTTTTACCTTGGTCAAATAAATGATATTAAACTTACATTGTAACTTGCAAGCGCCAATAATTGTGAGATTTTGTGAAGAGGAGGATGATGATGATGATGATGATGATGATGATGATGAAGATGGACATGTATATATGAACATATTTACTGAAAAGAGGAAATACAATGTAAATCACCAATCAAATACTATGTAAATAAACCCTATATTTACTTATATCTCTGAAAAGAGGAAATGTAAATACATCACTAATAAAATACCATGTAAATAAACCCTATATATTACTACAAAAATCGTTGTTATCGTTATTAAAAATAGAGGTGCCGTTTTCGCCCGACTCATAGTAGCCGTTTTCGCCAAATGCGGTGCCGTTTTCGCCAGAGAAATCGGTGACGTTTTGCTGAGGTGCCGTTTTAGCCTGCACCCGTTTTAAGTAGATGAAGCAAGTTGTTAGGACAGAAGCACTTGCATTTACACGAGGAAACGTGTGTCGTTGATGTGATAAATTCAGTGAGTAATGTCTCTATTGTCATGTATAAATGGGAATATTATTATTATTTTTGCAATGTCATTAATTATGAATTAAGGAATGAATGAATAAATAACATAACAATATAAATATTTCGTTTTTAATGATTTTATTACAAGGTACACACGGTTATTATCTATCGTGAAGACATCCGATTTTCGATCACAAATCACTTAATTTCGTTAATCCGACATACTCGGTAATCCGACACAATCATGTGAAACCAACGATGTCGGATTAACGAGACTTGACTGTATGTGTTTATACATTTCGTTGTTACACGACAAATCAGACATATTTCAACTATATGACGGCGGCCTGTAAATGATCTAGTCTGGACCAGACAATCCTGTGATTGAGCATCGATCTATGAACCAGGGTCAGCGAACCTTACCACCCAGACCCGTTAATCGCCTTTTACAAGCTTGGGAAGACCACTTCAAATATTTTTTTTTTTCACTTTTTTTTTATATTTTTCAAAAAGACTTAATTTCAATAAGCATGAGTTACGACAAGCAAGGGAAGACCACTTCAATTTTTAATTATTTTTTTTAAATTTCAAAAAGAATTAATTTCAATAAGCATGAGTTCATATATTTATCTCCTGGGGTGGCACGTTCAACGAATTTCTGTAGAAACATTGTCGTTAGAACTCGTCGTAGGTTTGTAATCCATTTATGTTTAGAGACACGTGAAGTGTTGTGAAATTTTATATATACAGTGACTATGATACACCTCGAAGTGTTATTTTTGTTTGGCGTGGACACTGATCTGAATGAGCAAGACGACGACACTGACATGACACCCATTCCTTAGGAATGGTGGTCTTGGGACATTTTCACGAACACCTGGAGTCATCACTGATTTTCAGTGATCCATTCATATAATTTTCACCTTTTTTTGCCTTTCACGCCTAGTGGAATCTGTTTCGTCGATGGATCAAAACTGTTTGTTCTCTAACGTTGGCGTTTTTTATTTACCCAGTACTGGCAGACCTAGGACACTGGCACTAGTTAATGAGTAGTTATCATTGTCCGCTACTACTGATCCTAGGACACTGGCACTAGTTATCATGTAATTTACACACCATGTCTATTGGAAACGTTTGTTGTTCTCGTTCAAGCAATATGTTCACAAACTAATCGAGTCTGGATTAAATAGTCCAAGGGTGTCATGCTATACACCGCCGTCGTGGAACGATGGACCGACCGCAGTCAGCCGGGCCTGACCATCCGATTTGGTATGAAATCAGCATTGTTTCATTTTTTAAATCTCAATTATTTTTTCACATACATAAACAGGTGCTCAGTTATTACCTTTAAACAAATATAAATAAAGAATTGTTTGCAAGGCAAGGGCACATTATATTGTTTCCTTCAATGCAAGGCGTACGCATTTCGTTCTCAGTAAATCAGAGGACGGAAACATCCCGATTTATGGTAAGCCCGTGTACAACCATTCACAGAAAGCTGTTTCTTTGCCTAGCACTCTCTACGACGTGTCTCCGCACCAGGCAGGTGAAATACAGTCTGAGATCTTTAGCTTTCTGTACACGTTCTGACACAGATGAATCAGCAAACGTCGGACACTCTGAAACTCTGTGCTCCTCTTCACACCTATAGAACTTTGGTCTCTTCACTTGCTGCTGTGAAAACACACTCCTTTATCTATCCCTATGGGTTTGAGAGTTTGATGTCATACCAGTATTGCCTTTTACATGTTCCCCAAATCTAATCTAACTTAAAGGTCACTTCAACCCCCTAGGATCCGTAGCCATAAATTTCCACTGCTCTTTGAGGTGTGAAGACAGCCGTGCTACAAACATGTTGTCCGGTTCATAACTCTATACACAATCGCAATCGATATTCTTTGATGTATATGCTACAGTCAATGTATAAACAAGGGCCGTCATTCGTGATTGGGGTTTAAATAATCTCCGTTGTGCACCATTGGGAATCAAACAAGCTCAATCGTTCACCATTGGGATTCAAACAAGCTCAGTACTTCTCATTTGGGATTCAAATCAGCTCCGTCGTTCACGATTGGGATTCAGACAAGCTCCGTCACTCACAACTGGGATTAAAACAAGCTGAGTACTTCACGATTAGGATTCAAACAAGCTCAGTACTTCACGATTAGGATTCAAACAAGCTCGATACTTCACGATAAGGATTCAATTAAGCTCGGTACTTCACGATTAGGATTCAAACAAGCTCGGTACTTCATAATTCAGATTCAAACAAGCTCGGTACTTCACGATTAGGATTCAAACAAGGTCGGTAACCCACCATTGGTATTCAAACAAGCTCCGTCGTTCGCCATTGGGTTTCCAAGATCCCTCGTTCACGATTGGGATTCAAACAAGGGGATACAGTCTATATCCATCAACGCTTTTGAACATGAATATGTCTGTCATGTGGCGGTTGAACTGTGATTTCTCCCGAGGAAAGGGTATTCATGAATAACCAGAGATCGCACAAACAGTAATAGACCCTGGAACCTTACTTCTGTGGGAGTTTTAGTGGGGCCGCCATTTTCTCATTGTCGATCTGGAATAACGTATACGTATTTGGAGGTGAGTGATTAAGGAGAACATTGCCATATCTTTTTTTATTGTTTTGTCACATTGGTAAGGTATAACAGAAATAACCTTAAAATCTGCGCTAATGTGCCAATCTTCATGGAGAAACAATGAAACGTTTATGCGTTAGGCACCGGAAACAACCTAACACTCATTCCAACTTGCTGCCAAACGAACGGACAAAGGAGTGCGTCTGCACGTCCGTCAAGCAGCGTGTTGATGGGGAATGAAACATAAAGCATGACAGACAATCATATTGGTAAACTTCGTAATAGAGATATAATCAGGGCGAATCTTGCATTTCAACCAACGAACATATATGTTTGTTTGTTTGTTGTTTAATGCCACAAACAGCAATATTCCAGCTATATGACGTAGGTCTGTAAATAAGCGAGTCTGGACCAGACAATCCAGTGATTGATATCATGAGCATCGATCCACGCAATTGGGATCGATGACATACATCAACAAAGTCAGCGAGCCTGACCACCCTATCCCGTTTACGCTTTTTACGACAAGCCTAGTCGATTTTTACGGCAAGCATTTGTTGCTGAAGACCTATTCTACCCCGGATCTTCACGAACTTACATGTAACTGAATGGAGTTTTAACACCTGATACAACGCAAACAATACCAGAGCGTTGGCTATTACAGTCATATCAAACTGCCATTACTATAATGGCTAACTTGAAGATAGCATTCCTGAGTTGCAAGCAGGTTTCCGATCTTGCTTTCCACAACGCACCATATTTTACATTCTATCAAGAGCTTGTTTGATAAAGACCTAAAGAAAACTATTTTACACCACTTTCGTAGATTTTAAGAAAATATTTGATTATGTTGAAAGAGATGCAATGCAACGTTTGTATAAATGTTTTCTGGTAAATTATATTCAGGACTGACAGTTAACCTCGAAAAAAACTAACGTTGTTTTAGAAAAGGTGGTATTTCATCTTCCAAGGAAAAACGGATGTACAAGGTAGCACACAGTCCACAGTTAACAATTATTAAGTTTTCAGGCGTCATTTTTTTCTGGCACTTTTCAAATTGCAAAATGCATCAATGAAATATCGGGGGGCCCAGTGGAAAAAAACTAATATAAATTTCAACAATATTGGAATATTTGACCCAACATGTATGTTAGGATATAGGATTCACAGGTTTAACCCACCTTCTTACATGGCTCAAAATAGGGAATTGCATCGGGTGTCATTTTTATCACAGGTGTATCAAATCTTGAAATCTTGTACACATGTCTACCATGAAACAGTGTTTGAACCTCTACCACGAAACAGTGTTTGAACCTCTACCACGAAACAGTGTTTGAACCTCTACCATGAAACAGTGTTTGAACCTCTACCACGAAACAGTGTTTGAACCTCTACCACGAAACAGTGTTTGAACCTCTACCACGAAACAGTGTTTGAACCTCTACCACGAAACAGTGTTTGAACCTCTACCATGAAACAGTGTTTGAACCTCTACCACGAAACAGTGTTTGAACCTCTACCATGAAACAGTGTTTGAACCTCTACCACGAAACAGTGTTTGAACCTCTACCACGAAACAGTGTTTGAACCTCTACCACGAAACAGTGTTTGAACCTCTACCATGAAACAGTGTTTGAACCTCTACCACGAAACAGTGTTTGAACCTCAAATATATTCTAGCCTTGTCACTGAAATACATGCGCGTTTTATTTTAATGAAATTAAGATGGATATTATAACTCAACAAAAGATAAGGGGATGGCAATCAGATGAATCAGTTTTACGTATTTGCCCTGTTTGCGATGAAGATTGAAGATGAGTATAATTGTGTACATATTTGTAAATATTATAAAATAAACTGTGGACAGGTTATCATCCAGAATGTCCTACTGCAAATAAATTTATAAGTTTTCTGTGAACGTCTCAGGATGAAACAAACGCCAGCAATATTGTATATACCATGCATTTTTAAAAAGATCCGAAATTTAAATTCCATGAAATATGTGTCACGTAATATAGTCTTTTGCATTGAAAGACCTATAGGAAACTGTTGTGCGACGTCAGGCAACAAACACATTGTATATGTTTTATGCAAACTGTTAATGCGGGTGCTACTGGTAGGGCAGACAATGCTTACCCTTTTCTCGAACACCTGGCCCCGTTCCACAAAGCCATCTTACTGTTAAGGTGATCGTAACTCCCATACTTTAGCACTGGCTTACGATAGTCGTAGCTAAGATCGCTCCGTGGAGCGGTGCCCTGGTGTTATCCCTCAGTTTTAGTCGTTCACTCATTCAAATTTCACCGCTGTGCCTGTAATGGCCAATAGAAGTTGTTTCGGTGGATAGTCTTGACTGGTTATTCTCTGGCGTTGACGGTTTATGTACAGTGTATTTGGGTTAATATCCCAATTACAAATCAACGACGTTGACTTTGACTCATTGTAATGCACATTGTTTCCAAGAATTAAACTGATGATATCAATCACGGTTTTGTCTGGTCAAGACCCGATTGTTATATTTACAACCACCTTCATATTGCTGTAGTCTTGCAGAGTGCTACTTTAAACGCTACACGAAACAAAAATATCCTTTTATCATCCAAAACTGGCTCCCACAGGAGATATCGCTTGTGTGAGATCAAGCGATATCTACACTGTAGTTATCGCTGCAATGAAATTGCATCACAATGCTTTGCAGACCATTGTGACATCACTGGTTACCATGACGTCACAATCAAATGACATCACTAATGGCTCTGCTACTGAAGCTGTTAGCAGTACTTTTTACACTGAAGACACTGCTAATTACTGTCTACAAATCGAAAAAGTTGAAAGAATGATGTTGGATGATAAATAAAATCTCACCCTCGTGTCTTTTGACATCAAATATATCAACACTCGTTGATAAAAGTGGCAAACATCCTCGGCAAGCCTCGGAATTTTTCCACTTTTATCAACTCGTGTTGATATATTTGATATCAAAAGACACTCGGGTGAGATTCTCTATCTCTCTACTTGTTTTGAGAAGGTTTTGCTGCTTTCTACAAAGTTAAAACAGCGTGTCTTTATGTAGTATTTTGACTTGTTTTTTCAGTTTTCACTTTATTCAGAACTTGTAGGCCACGGTCCTGTTTGTACAAACGAAATACAATTCAGGTGCAAACAGTATAAAATACAACACATTTCATTTTTGTTTTTTAACAATAGCAGTTTTAAGATAATGCATATTATCATAGTTGGAGTATTTGTGTTCTTACAGCAAGAGTATTAAACAGGTACTTTGCTGTATTCATATTGGTAAAGGGTCTTGCGATGACAGGAGTGTATTAACACTTCAGAATATTTGGAAAGATGTCACATTTAGATGTTATGTAATTTTGCCTAAGATGGCTATAAGGTGGACAATTAACAAAAGGAGATTTTCATTTTCTATATGGTTTAAGTAACAAGCTTCACATTTTCTTAATTCACGAGGAATATAAAAATGTTCAATTTCCAGATTGTGAGAACTAAGCCGAAAACGAGTCAATGTGGTCTTGAATTTATTTACAGTAATACTACTCAAATAGTTCGCACATGAAATGGATGTTTTAAACTGTGCACGCTAAGCCGTTTAGGGGCTTTTGGGTGATTCAATATGTCAAACTTGTTTAAACTTGTTTATTTATAGACTCCACTCACCGATAGTTGTGACGACGGTGATGGCATACAACAACGCACCGGGAAACGACCACTGTAATTCATCTTCCGGTTCCTGACCATCCCAGCCACTGAAGGCTGTCAACTCGAAAACTTCCATCTGAAATTTCTCCACCAACTTGGTCGCGTTCTGCTGCCACATGGCATAACTCTCCGTGGTGTTCTTCAACGCCTGTGACAGCTCAACCAACTTCTTGGTGTACGTGACTCTGGCCTTCTCAACTCGATCCCTTTGGATCCGTTCGCTTGGCGCCTCCAGACCCTTGAAAATGACACCACCTAGCATGCTGTAGGCGACCACAGCCGACGTAAGTCCAACATGTGAGAAAAGGAACATGACGAAACGTTTAATTCCGGTGAGGATGGCATGACGTACCCGTTTAGCGCGTGACACAGTTGGTGTTTCCATTTTGGATGGAAAGCTGTAGAAATGGTGATTTTTCACCTGGTATATAGCACTGGTTTATCACTGTCTCTCCGCCCAATGGAATCTGGTTATTCACTGGCGTTGGTGTTTTGTATTATTTTTCAAAGTGCTGTGCAATTATGTTTGTATTTCGTGTTGTATTCTTACTGGAATTAAACAAGTAACATCATTTGGATGCGTGCCTGACAACCGATGGCTATTAACAATCCCTCTCTTATGTCTGGCGATCCGCTATATATCCGGTTGAATCAGTTATTCTTGGTTCGGATTGCAGGGTAGTGTATCAACAGACTTGACCCAGTCTGGCTCTTTGATTGCACCGCTCAACTTCCGTGACAATCACTCACTGCACTCAGAATCAGCAAACTTCATGAAACGTATACTTCTTTTGTAAATGAAACAGACTGTAATTCGCCATGAAAAGCCGCAGTCCTCTCTGTGTACACAACAGTAGCATAATAACACATCCTATCGCCACAAACTTAGTCAAAAATATTTGTTTATACCTCGGAACATCTGTTCAAGGTTTCCAGGTGCAAAGTCGCTATCATTAAATATTTTTATACATTAACTTACGCTCCTCCGTCGAGTCTTCATCTTCTGATACTTTCTATAATAACATCGCCCCCTACCAGCACGTCTTCAGATAAACCAGGTATTCGTTGCTCTACAGACGACTGGTGGAATTTAATGGGAAAGGCAATTAAAGCCTAGCGTATTGAGTACTGTATCTGGAACATAAAGCAGGGGTTTTCTTTCCCCGATATTCGGTGGTTGTAATCAGTGGCCTTAGTGTCTCCTGTCTTAATAGAAATACCAGAAGTGATGTACAGTGCCAGCCGAGAGAACACCTGACCACATCCCGCGATCAAACGCGAGATTACATAGCCTGTGCCATGCGCGTAGTTGTTGCGTAAAAAACCATGGGAGCCGCGTGCCACCCTGGTTCTGCCAGACAGATTGCCTCCTGCTCTACCTGAAACGTAGTATTTGCTGTTTTGTGTGCGAGTGTGTGTGTGCGAGTGTGTGTGTGTGCGAGTGTGTGTGTGCGAGTGTGTGTGTGCGAGTGTGTGTGTGCGAGTATGTGCGAGTGTGTGTGTGTGCGAGTCTGTGTGCGTGTGTGTGCGTGCGTGCGTGTGCGTGTGTGTGTGTGTGTGTGTGTGTGTGTGTGTGTGTGTGTGTGGGTGTGTGTGTGGGCGCGCGCGCATGTGTGTAATAAGTGAGTGGGGGGGCTTGGTTTAACCCCTATGTGGAGAGTATTACATTTACTCGAAGTGATGCAGGTCTATGTTATTTTGATTAAACCAACAAGCACGGATGGGTGCTGACAAACCTCGAAAAATAATGTGCGCGAACTGGAATTGGAACCCACGATCAGAGGTTCCTGGCATGCCCAAGGTAGACAGGGCTCTAACAGAAGTAGCTCGCATATAACTATTGTATATGGTCTTATTAGGTTACGTATAACCTGTTGTAATGTTGTATACTCAATATAAGATGACGTCATTGACATATTATTTGCACACTTTGACAACGTCGTGATAAATAATATTGTTTGTTCACTAAGGTGTTTGTACATAATGTTGTTGCTCACACTGACAAGGTGATTGCACACAATGTTGTTTGTTCACAGAGTCTGGGTGATTTGTACATAATGCTGTTAGCTCACCTAGACAAGTCATTGCATATAAGGGGGGCACGGGTGTCCCAGTCGTTTAAGGCGTCGCGAGTCGCTGTGCAGAGTTTCCTCCCTTATACACACAAGAAACTTAAAAATGATAGTGGTAGCTCACCTAGACAACGGCATTGGATATAATATTGTAGGCTCACCTAGACGTCATTGAACATAATGTTGTAAGCTCACCTATACCACATTGTAAACTCACCTAGACAATGTCATTAGATATAATGTTGTAGGCTCACCAAACGTCATTGAACATATTGTTGTAAGCTCACCTATACCACGTTGTAAGCTCACCTTGACAATGTCACTAGATATAATGTTGTAAGCTCACCTAGACACGGGCATTGGATATAATATTGTAGGCTCACCTAGACGTCATTGGACATAATGTTGTAAGCTCACCTATACCACGTTGTAAGCTCACCTAGACACCGGCATTGGATATAATATTAGTAGCTCACTTAGACACCGGCATTGGATATAATGTTAGTAGCTCACCTAGACACCGGCATTGGATATAATGTTAGTAGCTCACTTAGACACCGGAATTGGATATAATGTTAGTAGCTCACTTAGACACCGGCATTGGATATAATGTTAGTAGCTCACCTAGACACCGGCATTGGATATAATGTTAGTAGCTCACCTGTACATCGTCATTGTGCATAATATTGTTAGTACACTTACACAACGTCATTGCATACTATGTTGTTAGCTCACCAAGGCAACATCATTGTATATAAAATTGTTAACTCACTAATATAACATCCTTGAATATACTATTCTTAGCTCACCTAGACAACGTAATTGAATACAAATTCGTTAGTTCACTAAGGCAACGTCACTGAAAATATATCTGCTTGATGTTGTTAGTTCGCTAGTACAACGTCAATGAAACGAGTATTGCAGCTCACTCAATAACACTATGGAACTATGAAATTTGTTGTAAGCTCACCTAAATAAAGCCATTTTATGTTGTTATCTCACCTGGATAATTTGTATGTAATACTAATGTTATATGTAGAGATATGATATGTGCTTTAACCTCACTATTAATAACTGGTTCAAAATAACGTTGCATTGTTTTCCTTGTTTGAGAAACGTCCTTTAGGAACGTGATATATCAGCTGATGATTACTTGAGCAACCAATCATATATGACTGCGGTCTGAAAACAATCCAGTGATTGCCATCGCGAGCATCGGACTACACAGTTAGGATACGATGACCAGGAAGTCATTGAGTTCGACCACTCGATCCATTAAGTCTTAAGACAAGTTTAAGTTTCTGGGGACCAATTAAATTTACCCGGAATTCCTTACAGAGAGAGTACAGATTGACAGCTGATGTGGCTTTACTTAATTATTTTGTTGACAGCATTGAATTAAGGAATTACGCTTTCGCGTTGTCAATGTACATGTACCTGTATAACAGTATTTACCGTTTGAGTTTGGGTGATCAGGTGTGTGTGTGTGTGTGTGTGTGTGTGTGTGGCTGCCTGGACTAGTACTGACATACCATGCCTCAGTTTAACATAAATACGACACTCAGACACAGTGTACTGACTCCGAGCAGACCAGACCTTGTTTAATACCGAGCGCCAGGCAGGGTAACAACAAGTACCATCTTTCAAAGTCTTTTGTATGATGCAGCCGGGGATCGAACCCTGGACCTTCCGCTCTCCGGGCGGACGCTTTACCACTAGACCACGGAGGCGGCCCCCTAGGGATAGATAAAGGAGTGTGGTTTGACTTCATCAAGAGAAGACAGCAAGTGGTATGTGTGGGAAGAGGAGCCCAGTGTATCAGAGTGTCCGACATTTGTTGATTCATTTGTATCAGAACGTGTGCAGAGAGTTAAAGATCTCAGACAGTGTCTCACCTGTCTCGTGCGAAGACAGAAGAGAGTGCAAGTCAAAGAAACAACATGAACACCCCACTCAGACATAGTACACTTACTCCAGGCAGACCAGTCCTTGTTCTAGCCCCTTAATGCCAAGCGCTATGCAGGGTAACAACAAATACCATCTTTCAACGTTTTTTGGTTTGACGCGGCGATTGAACCCCGTACATTCCGCTCTGATGGCGGACACTCAACCACTAGATTACGGAGGTGGTCTCATAGTGGACAGCGTCAGTATATAGCATTCTCACTTAGAGTTAGCAAGCCAGTGTATACCATTATTTGATTTCGTAGGAACAGATGGTGTATTACATCACTAGTTCTCTTTACTCCGATACCATACCTCCTCGTGAACTTACTTACTTACTTTGGAGATTTAACGTGCGCTTTCCGACTGATGCGTATTTCGCACACGTGAAGACATGGCAACCTTTATATAGGAACTTTAAAATCGAACAATCAGTGTTGATGCTTCTAAATTCCTGGCATGAGTGAGCAACTTATCTAATTTCTGTACCACGAAAACGAAAGGAAACAGCCAGTTCCGTGTGTGAATAATAAAGGTCGGGCCGTTCTGTTGTTGATATTTTATACACCCTGGACTTTTCTGAGCGCCATCGAATCTCCAACAATGAACCCGGTCATTTGACATCTTCAAGCGCATGGAGGTATCATATCGGAGTGAAATATCTTATGTTAATGAACTTATTAACACTCCATAGCACAAGGCAAGTGCACTCGTAAAATAGACCAATTACAACGTATTTATGTATAATGTGACTTATTCATATCAGTTGATAGTTTATGTTGAGACTTAAATATCTGTGTATAGCTTTTCTAACCAATATTTGACAAGGTCGATGTATGACTTACCTCGGATCACTTTGGCAGGGTCAGGATTTTGCATTGAGAACTCATGGTGGCAACGTCTGCCTAAGACACTGTTAGCTCTCTTTCGAAACATCAATGTATTTCATTGTGTACAGTGTACAGAATATTTAGCTCATCTTGGACACGCAGTGCTTAAATATAATATGCGCTCCTTAGACACGGCGACACATAACACTGCTAGCTCACCTTAAAACGGCAATACATTGTAGTGGTAGAAACTAACACTTTTAGTCCACTAGTCCTTATAATGATAACATGATAAAACCCTTAAAATGGCAAATGTTTTGGGCAGTTTGGCAAGGACTATAGGACTAGTGCCAATTTCTAAAGCTGCATTGCAGTGTCAGCCCCCCCCCCCTCAAAACGTCAACGCAGGACAGTGTAAGATGTACTTAAAACGTCAATGCAGGACAGTATAAGATGTACTTAAAACGTCAATGTAGAACAGTGTTAGATGTACTTACAACGTCAATGTAGAACAGAGTTAGATGTACGTAAAACGTCAATGTAGAACAGAGTTAGATGTACGTAAAACGTCAATGTAGAACAGAGTTAGATGTACGTAAAACGTCAATGTAGAGCAGAGTTAGATGTACGTAAAACGTCAATGTAGAACAGAGTTAGATGTACTTAAAACGTCAATGTAGAACAGAATTAGATGTACTTAAAACGTCAATGTAGAACAGAGTTAGATGTACGTAAAACGTCAATGTAGACCAGAGTTAGATGTACTTAAAACGTCAACGTAGAACAGAGTTAGATGTACGTAAAACGTCAATGTAGAACAGAGTTAGATGTACTTAAAACGTCAATGTAGAACAGAGTTAGATGTACGTAAACGTCAATGTAGAACAGAGTTAGATGTACTTAAAACGTCAATGTAGAACAGAGTTAGATGTTTGAAAACGTCAATGTAGAACAGAGTTAGATGTACGTAAAACGTCAATGTAGAACAGAGTTAGATGTACTTAAAACGTCAATGTAGAACAGAGTTAGATGTACTTAAAACGTCAATGTAGAACAGAGTTAGATGTACTTAAAACGTCAATGTAGAACAGAATTAGATGTACTTAAAACGTCAATGTAGAACAGAGTTAGATGTACGTAAAACGTCAATGTAGAACAGAGTTAGATGTACGTAAAACGTCAATGTAGAACAGAGTTAGATGTACGTAAAACGTCAATGTAGAACAGTGTTAGATGTACTTAAAACGTCAATGTAGAACAGAGTTAGATGTACGTAAAATGTCAATGTAGAACAGAGTTAGATGTACTTAAAACGTCAATGTAGAACAGAGTTAGATGTACGTAAAACGTCAATGTAGAACAGAGTTAGATGTACTTAAAACGTCAATGTAGAACAGAGTTAGATGTACTTAAAACGTCAATGTAGAACAGAGTTAGATGTACTTAAAACGTCAATGTAGAACAGAGTTAGATGTACTTAAAACGTCAATGTAGAACAGAGTCAGCTCTCCTTAAATCGGCAATGCATGACAGTGTTAGCTCTCCTTAGCGCTGCTTTCATAGTATTATTCATTCTCCTTTAAAACGCCAATGTAAGGTATTGTAAAATGCACATAAAAGGGGGAATTAGTTAAGATTTCAATGATAAGATCAATTCATTGCTTTATGGCTCGAGTTGTAACAATACGTCATGGCGTGTGTGCACCGGGCTCTTATCTACATGGGCATATGGATCATATATGACATATAAGAAATGGTGAATGAGTGAGTGAGTGTGGTTTTACGCCGCTTTTAGCAATAGTCCAGCAATATCACGGCGGGGGACACCAGAAATGGGTTTCACTCATTGTACCCATGTCGGGAATCGAACCTGGGTCTTCGGCGTGACGAGCGAACGCTTTAACCACTAGGCTACCCGACCGCCTCTATAAGATAGATAGGACTAGAGTAATGTAGAAAATAAGTGTTTGTTGTAATATTGCGTTGTTGTTTTACAACTTTCTTACCGCGGGGTGCTGGGACAGGCTCCGGCAGAGAAGTGGGGTGGATTAGGTGTACTGGGGCAGAGGGTAGGGTGTGTGTTGCGGTGGGGGTGGGGGAGGGATGAAGTGTACTAAAACAGGGGGTAGTGGGGTGGGTGAGGTGTACTGGGGAAGTGTGTGTGTGTGTGGGGGGGGGGGGGGGGGGGGGGGGGTCAGAGTAAACGATCTGATAATAATTAGATTATACCAATGCGATGATTTCAGCGGAAGGTGTAACCCGATGTTGAAGCTTTTGTCACAAACGATGCGTGTTATACAGAGAGAAAAATTCAGAGAAAATATTTTATTTCGAATTACAAAATTTTAAATTGAAATTATCCCACAATGGGAACAGGGCTCTGTGTCGTGGTGACGCCACAGAAGGATGGGTCCGTCATCTCCAGATCCAGCTTGTAACACTTCGTCTTAGAAAATATGCATCTACAAAACACAATGATATGGATACTATGTTGTGTATGTCGTCAAAATAGAAACAGCTTGAACTTTCTTGAAAAATATAAATTGACCAGAAAACCACCAACCGCGCCTTATAAAATAAAAATAAAACGTTTTGAAAATATGGTGCTGAGAGTTGATAAAATAATCCGGCTCCTCCCTTCAAAGAGATATCATTTAAGGTCTTGACACAGTGACACCCTACTCTCTCACCCTAGCAATATGTTAAATGGACGAATAAAGTTTCATTAAAGCAGAATAGTGTCAAGATTCAGAATGCAGATTTATGCACTTTATGTCTTCTGTATTCAGCGTATGCATGTTTAATGTGTATTGTAATGTATCAGAATAATGCGATGATCAGTATCATGCGATCTGTTGTGCGTTTTAGATACTCACGATTTATGTATAATGAATGCTCCCGCGCATATCAGCGCGCATGCGCATTTGTGCCTTGCTTGCTCGATGATACGAATGAGTCATGTTGTTCGGCGTGGAATAATTCAAATCAAAGATACAACATGCCCCCTCCGACTTATTGATATAAAATATTCTATATTTCTTTGAAAAAGCGTTTTCCATTTCAGAGGGTAAAATATAAGTTACAAAATATGAAATCAAATAGCACAGGTGTGCAGCTTACGTATTGCTGTAGGTGCGTCCATCGGTACCGCATACGAGCAGAGTCGGCGAACTTCCACACGTGATGCTGTGTATGTTACGACAGAAGACTTCATGGATGATACCGAAAGCAGGGTCAACGCCCTCCGTCGTGCTTGGAGCCACCGTTGATGCCGTGACGGCATCTGACGACATCGGAACCGTATCGGTCCGTGTCATGATGTCCGTTGACCTGATATCGTCCGTTGTTGACATCAGCATGTTAATGAGGTCACTTGTTGCCTTTACCGATAGTGACGGTTTGTCTGACGAGGTCGCTGGATTGGCTTTCTCAGATGTATCGGTGCTGGTTTCCATGGAAACCATAGGTGTCACCATGGTAGCCGTCACCGCATCGGATGACATCGGTGTGTCCGTTGTCGCAGTTACCGGGAGAGACATCTTTGGGGAGACTGCTGACGTCTTCCCTGCGTCAGTTGTTGCTGCTGTTGCGGACGGAGAAGATGACGGTTTCTCTGACACTCCAACTTTGCTGGTTGTAATTATGTCGTTAGTGACCGGAGATTGGGGACAGGGACCGTGATTCAAGAGTGTCACGTTCTCATTGTTACATCTGGCGTTAGCAAAGAGGCAGCTGAGGAAAAGAAGATTTGAATAACGTTTGAAAGCTGATACGCGATGTGGAGAAATCATGTCATTGTTATACAAAATACCATCATGCATATACTCGCTGATTGCTATAAAAATATGATCATCCATATACTAACTGATTGTTATACAATATACCGTCAAACATATACTCACATACTCACTGATTGTTATATAATATACCGTCAAACATATACGCAAATACTCACTGATTATTATGCAATATACCGTCAAGCATATACGCAAATACTCACTGATTGTTATGCAATATATCGTCAAGTATATACGCAAATACTCACTGATTGTTATGCAATATACCGTCAAACATATACGCAAATACTCACTGATTTTTATGCAATATACCGTCAAGCATATACGCAAATACTCACTAAATGTTATGCAATATACCGTCAAGCATATACGCATATACTCACTGATTGTTATACAATATACCGTCAAGCATATACGCAAATACTCACTGATTGTTATGCAATATACCGTCAAGCATATACTCGTATACTCACTGATTGTTATGTTATATACTCGTATACTCACTGATTGTTATACAATATACCGTCAAGAATATACTGATATACTCACTGATTGCTATACAGTACGAGGTCAGTACCGCACACGTTCTCGTCTCCGTGTGGTATGTGTGTAGCACAGGATATAGATAGAATTGAGGCACACACCTCCTGTGTATACTTCATCATCAAGTTGTTTATGTCGTGAATAGTTTCCCCATGGTTGATCTTCGAGGCTATGACTGGAAGATGAAAGCAACATGACACGTCAGTAAAGCTCATATGAAGTTTTATTGAAGACATGTGGAGGACATTTCCAAATTTGACGCATTAGTGACCAAAAGAATTATGTACGATGCATTTCCCTATTTTGATATGTACCATATGTTCCCGTGTGTTTTTTCAGGTGCAAAGTTGATTAGCCTTTGCATGTGTTTGTGACGGCACCTTTTCGTGAACACCTGGTATCATCACAATTTCATAATCATTCATGAACACGTGCTCATGATGTAGTTGTAATAGTACAATCGGCTTTTGAGCAGAGTTTGTTATGAATATGGAAATGGTTTTGTCGTTGTACGTTGTAGTTGACTCAGCATTATTGATAAATATTTCTGAGCTTATGGTGAAACAAGGGGACTACAGTTTACCAGCAGAGAAATCAGTTCAAGTAAATATAAAAAGACAACGCCAGAGAATAACCAGTCTCGATTATCCTCCGAAACAGATTTTATTGGGCGTAAAAGACAAATCAGAGACGAAAAATATACGAATTCATAAAATTCTTAATGAAGCTGAACGGAATATTTTATCAGACTGTGATATTTTAACCCTTTCTTACAGCTTCACCCTGGGGTCGACCGGACGCTGGGGCTTGCCGCATGTGACGTGAGTTTAAATTTGACTAGTTTGAATGTGGTTGGTTGTAGTTTAACGCCGCACCATGCAATATTCAAGCAATATGACGGCGCTCCGTAAATAATTGGACCAGACCAGACCAGACAATCCAGTGATTGACATCGTGAGCATCTATCCAGGCTATTGAGATACGATGACATGTATCAACCAAGTCAGCTAGTTCGACTACCCGACGCCAAGCATGGGTTTCTAACCCCGATCTGCGCGGATTATGTTTGGACTGTTTGTTGGTATTACAGCACGTCAATGTCGATATGTATTTTGATCAATTGTCACGATTAGCATGTTTCCATAACCTACAACAAGGCTCGTCCTCCTCTAGAGGGCTGCCTTGCGTGGAAACGGCGCACGCCAATCAGAATGCGCGTCAGCATAACGGTACTTTGATCAACATAATCACAAGTAAACAACTTTCAGAAACAACTTATAAGACTTATAGGCCGAAAGTTCCAGGGTCATCTGTACTTCCTTCATCTTTGGAGATCGGACGAATAATTCAATTTAACCATTCCATTATTCGGGAAACATCCCAGTAGCAAAGATAAGAATAAATAGTCTGGTATACAAGGGTGACAATGTATACACTGAAGAATCATTGCTATTGTTACCCTTTAGTAGTTTGATGGCGCATACAATTTCTTGTTCACTTATGTCAGTGTTTAAAATATCATTGCAATTACTGACATCAAAATTACTATTATGATCATTCGGATCGTCAGCAATTGTCATCAAAGGAAAATAAGGACTATATATAATTATAGATCCGTTAATATTTCATATTTAAGAGTGACGTACCGTTGATCAGAGAGGAGAAAATTATGACTTTCACAATCATAGTGTTAAGGCGAGGGCTGCTCTGACTGAAAATACCAAGCTGCTATCTCGGGCTACTCTATAAAATAAAATGTTTGCACGTCATAGGTCACAGCCAGAAGTAGTTCTGGCCATGGAACGGCGACAGGGAGTGTGCGTCCACGTGACTAGCGTGACCTCTATGGCACTGTGTGGAGTTTCTGCATGGTGTATGCCAGTACAAGACGAGCGTCGATGTTGGAAATAATCACTCATCTGTCTCTAATGTTGGTTTGTTTGTTGTTTAACGCCGCTCTCAGCAATATTCCAGCTATATGACAATGACTTGTAAATATCGAGTGTAGATCAGACAATCCAGTGACTGATATTATGAGCAACGGTGCATACCCGTCAGCTTGGTATGGGAGGAAATCCGAAATTTTGAAGGTCTAGGTGTAACCTCTTTGGTGAAACTCAGGAGCACGGGTATGGAGTTGATAAACCAATGATTTTTCAATAATCAGGTCGATCCGGGATTAGATCCTCAAATCATAGATTTCTGTCATTCCTACGGGAGTGTATCTCGTGTGAGGTTTGACTTAAGGGGCGATTTTAAATCTGATTACAACCATGCCAAAGAGCGATTTCATGAAAATCAGATATTTTACACCCACAGCTTACGTGTGTGAATATTTTGGGACATCTACATAGGGACCTAAGTGAACTTTAACCGCTCAATCTAAATGAAATGAAATCAGGTGTCAGCTTTCTGAAGCGATTCGACGTCTCTTCTTTAGCACTTCGATTCGGAAATTTGTATTTGTATAAAAGAAAACGTACACAGAACCCACATTCATTACTTCGCTGGAGCCCAGCAGCGACAGGGGTATCACAGATCCACAACTATATAATAGAGCGGCCTTTATTATTTGGATTCGGAACTACTTGTTTAACTTCGTTAACTTCGATACATAAAATCAGATATGCGTTCACCCATACCGGGAATTTCGAAGCCTCGATGCTGATTGGATGATTAGAAAGTTCACCTGAGGCGACCTCCTAAGGAGGTGTCAGATCAAGGAGAGGTATGGTATTGGATTATAATCAGATTATGCCAATGCAATAAATCCAGCGGAAAGGTGTATTCAGATGTTGAAGATTTTGCCACAAACGATGCGTGTTACACGAAGAGAAAAAATCAGATAAAGTATTTTATTTCGAATAACAGAATTTTCAATTGTGTTTATCCGAGCAGGGGGACAGGGTTCTGTGTCGTGGTGATGACGGGAAGTCCATGTCCTCCACAGTTCACCACCTCCAGGCCAGGCTTGAAGCACGCCACCTTGCTGAACATACACCTGTAGACACCAGCACACAACCAATCACAGTAGATCCTTGTGTTAGTCCCCGTGAGCAATATCACAGCGGGAAACACGTGAACTGGGCTTCACAAATTGTACCCATGTAGGGAATCGAACCCGTCTCTTCGGCGTGACGAGTGAACGCTTTAACCACTAGGCTACCCCTCCGCCCCTCTAGTCCTGGGCGGTGGGGTAGTCTAGTAGTTAAAGCGTTCGCTCGTCACACCGAAGGCCCGAGTTCAATTCCCTACATGGGTACAATTTGTGAAGCCCAGTTCACCCGCTCCCGCCGTGATATTGCTGGAATATTGCTGCGGCGTAAAACCAAACTCTCTCACCCACAAGCCCGGGAGAGTGAGACGCAAGGCATATAACAGAGATCAATGAAACAGCTTCATTTGTCAATTACGAGACACCCACGATTACCCAGTGCATTATGTCGTCATTATGTTAGGATAAAAAAACATGGAATCATTTGAGATCAAAACTTCGTGAGGTGGCGCCACCATCTCAAGCTCTCCTATTGACTACCATAGCACAGACTCAGACTTTTTCTCGCTCGTGTGATGTGACTGGACGACTATGTCCAGAGAAGGCGAGAAGGCGAGAAAACGATAATGTCTCTTACAGTATTCAATAGACATCCTATCATCGACTGAAGTAGAGAGTAGAATGTCGGTGGTTCAATCCCCTGACTGTGTCATACCACAAGATGTAAAATGATGGTACGTGATGAAACATGGACTGGTCAGCTCGGAGTCAACATAACGTATCTGAGTGGAGTAGCCGTATTAAACTGCAGTAGGCACCTCAGTAGGCTAGCATTATAAACCCAGCCTAAGTTCGGACCTCTACAGGCTGACATACAGACGCACGCACGCACGCAAGTCATGATACAAGTGAAATAATCTAGAACGCAACGGTATTGAGAAACCTAGAAACATGATCAGGGCGAACCGTTACTCGAACCCACTATCACGGCATCCTGACACGTCTAAGAAACGCAACTCTGCACCGCAAATTATGGTACCGTACCTCATATTCATATAGACTTATGTTGTGAAATTATGCGATTCAGTAACAATCCATCAGGGTCTCAGCGGTGTTATGGAATTCCCTTCCGAAAAGCCAAGGAAAAACTAAAATACGAGGGCTGGCTGAAAGGTTCTAAGCCTAAGTGGGATATCTCAATCGGATGCCAAAGCTCTTGACAGCGGATCAGAAACGTGTCAGATTCCTGACGTCCCGTGACAATTTATGCCGTTTTGAAGCAGATCCCGATGATTTTTCGGCCCGATTTGTAACCATGGATGAGACCTGGATTCATCACTTCAAACCAGAAACCAAACTTCAGTATTAACAATGGAAGCATCCGGAATCACCCCCCTTCAGTCTTTTGGGATTTCAAGGGTATTCTGCTGATTGACTATCTTGAAAAAGACCATACTATCAATGGAAGATATTATGCTGACCTACTGAGACAGTTGCGTGAAGCTATCAAAGCTAAGCGACGGGGAATGCTCACTAAAGGAGTCCTGTTCCACCAAGACAATGCTCCTGTTCACAAATCGATGGTTGCCATGTCAGCGATCCATGATTGTGGCTTCGAACCCATTGACCATCCCCCTTATTCACCCGATTTGGCCCCGTCAGACTTCCACCTGTTTCCCAAAATGAAAAAAGGAACTAGCCGGTCGCCATTTTCCTAGTAATGATGACGTCATTTCCGCTGTGAATGACTTTTTTAGGGTGGCTAAAGAAATTTTTTTTCTTGACCGGCATCCAGGCCTTGCAGCATCGATGGCAAAAGTGTGTAAACCTGGAAGGGGACTATGAGGGGAAATAAATGAAAACCATCGTTTTGGTGTAGGTTCTAACACCGTTATCAAACATATTCACTTGCTTGATAACGGTGTTAGAACCTTCACCGAAACGTCGCTCTTAATTGTAATAAAGAAGTTGTTCATCCATAAATTCGTATCCTTACTTAGTACTCCAACTTCTAAATGCCTATCAAAGAAGAATACTTACATATTGGTGTAGACCTTCCCGTCAGAGCCACATATGTCACTATCAACTCGATTGCCACAGCTAATTGCATCGATATTCCTGCAAAACACTTCTTTGATGAGGTCAAGACTAGGATCGTGACCCCAGGTGATGGTGTTCGATGTCGTGGTTGTCACAGTAGGAGTGGTTGTTGTGACCTTGTTTGACGGGGGGATCGTCTGTGAGGTGACAAGCAGCCCCTGGTCCTTTGTGCTGGGTGAAGGGGGAGTTGTGTGTGGCGCTGATGTGATGGGGTCGCAGGCACCATACTTGACGAAATCAACGTCATGATGTTTGCAGCGAGCTTGTGCAAACTTGCAGCTTAAACACAGGAAATATTCCTTTACACAGATGCAACTGTCATATGTCAACCATTTCCACCAAATACAGCATTACAAATGTTATCATGTCAGGTTATAACCCAGTAGACGCCACGACGGACACAATAATGTCACATCTGACATTCGTCGCACTTTACCCGTGAAATCCGGATAGGAATAGGTCTTCAGCAACCCATGCCTGCATAAGAGCCGAATATGCTTGTCGTAAGAGGCGACCAAAGGAATCGGATGGCCAGGTTCCTTTACTTGGTTGATGCATGTCATCGTATCCCAATTGCGTAGATCGATGCTCATGATGTCAATCACTGGATTGTCTGGTTCAGATTCGAGTATTTACAGACCGCAATCATGCCTTGGAAGAATGACGGTTAGAAATAGGCATGCATTGGAAAAATGACAGAAAAAAATAGACATGTCTTTGAAGGTTAACAGGTAAAAAGGGACATTTCTTGGAAAAGTTGGTTGGTTTGTTGTTTAACGCCGCACTCAGCAATATTCCAGCTATATGACGGCGGTCTTTAAATAATCGAGTCTGGACCAGACAATCCAGTGATTAATATCATGAGCATCGATCCACGCATATTGGGATCGATGACATGCATCAACCAAGTCATCGAGCCTGACCACCCGATCCCGTTAGTCGCCTTTTACGACAAGCATAGTCACCTTTTACGGCAAGCATGGGTTGCTGAAGACCTACTCTACCTTGGAAAAGTGACAGGTAGAAATAATCATATTTTGGAAGAATGACAGATAGAAATAGGTATGTCTTGGAAGAATGAACTGATTTGTTTGTTTGTAAAGGACGCATGTTTTAGTCAACCAGAGAATCTATAAAACTTACTGACTCTCGTATGTTTCGCTATTAGAGCCGCACACTTTACTATCAGCCGGCAAGGCGTCACAGTGGAGGCCATGGATGTGTTGACACATCGCCGGGTTGTATTTGAGGATCACCTCGTTGATTTGGTCCACGACGCTCTCAGTGACCGGAGGTGTCTGTTGCTGGCCGCCATGGTGGACTTCGGGGTGGTTATTGGGATGCCCTTTCTGGTCAGTCAGCACAATAACTGAAGCAGCACATTGGATGGAAGATGAAGGACTGAGTGCGCCCTAACAGCAATGCATCACTCGTGACGATTGAACTTATGAATTAATCGATACTTAAGAAGATTCTTAAGTACTATTAACTTTAGGAGTACTTTTTATGCTAAAACTTTTTTATGAAATTGTTAGATTAAAGAGTAACGTTTGGTATTTCTTAGAAATTTCTAAGACCTCTTTAGCACTCAATACATTTTCATGAATACCACCCCAAGTATTGATTTCCACAAAGAGTGATCACTGAATACAAACTGAATTATTCACAATGATCACTATATCTCGAACCCCTAAGGATACTCTGTGCTCTGAGTATGACCACTGTATGTTCTGTGTATGACATCTGTGTGTTCTGTGTATGGCCACTGTGTGTTCTGTGTTTGATATGTGTGTTCTGTGTATGGCCACTGTGTGTTCTGTGTATGACCACTGTGTGTTCTGTGTTTGACCATTGTGTGTTCTGTGTATGACATCTGTGTGCTCTGAGTATGACCACTGTATGTTCTGTGTATGACATCTGTGTGTTCTGTGTATGGCCACTGTGTGTTCTGTGTTTGACATCTGTGTGTTCTGTGTATGGCCACTGTGTGTTCTGTGTTTGATATGTGTGTTCTGTGTATGGCCACTGTGTGTTCTGTGTATGACCACTGTGTGTTCTGTGTTTGACCATTGTGTGTTCTGTGTATGACATCTGTGTGCTCTGAGTATGACCACTGTATGTTCTGTGTATGACATCTGTGTGTTCTGTGTATGGCCACTGTGTGTTCTGTGTTTGACATCTGTGTGTTCTGTGTATGGCCACTGTGTGTTCTGTGTATGACCACTGTGTGTTCTGTGTTTGACCATTGTGTGTTCTGTGTATGACAAATGTGTGTTCTGTGTATGACCAATGTGTGTTCTGTGTATGACCGCTGTGTGTTCTGTGTATGACCACTGTGTGTTCTGTGTTTGACATCTGTGTGTTCTGTGTATGGCCACTGTGTGTTCTGTGTTTGATATGTGTGTTCTGTGTATGGCCACTGTGTGTTCTGTGTATGACCACTGTGTGTTCTGTGTTTGACCATTGTGTGTTCTGTGTATGACATCTGTGTGCTCTGAGTATGACCACTGTATGTTCTGTGTATGACATCTGTGTGTTCTGTGTATGGCCACTGTGTGTTCTGTGTTTGACATCTGTGTGTTCTGTGTATGGCCACTGTGTGTTCTGTGTATGACCACTGTGTGTTCTGTGTTTGACCATTGTGTGTTCTGTGTATGACAAATGTGTGTTCTGTGTATGACCAATGTGTGTTCTGTGTATGACCGCTGTGTGTTCTGTGTATGACCACTGTGTGTTCTGTGTTTGACATCTGTGTGTTCTGTGTATGACATCTGTGTGTTCTGTGTTTGACCACTGTGTGTTCTGTGTTTGACCATTGTGTGTTCTGTGTATGACATCTGTGTGTTCTGTGTATGACCAATGTGTGTTCTGTGTATGACCAATGTGTGTTCTGTGTATGACCACTGTGTGTTCTGTGTATGACCACTGTGTGTTCTGTGTATGACATCTGTGTGTTCTGTGTTTGACCACTGTGTGTTCTGTGTATGACATCTGTGTGTTCTGTGTTTGACATCTGTGTGTTCTGTGTATGACCAATGTGTGTTCTGTGTATCACCACTGTGTGTTCTGTGTATGACCACTGTGTGTTCTGTGTATGGCCGCTGTGTGTTCTGTGTATGACATCTGTGTGTTCTGTGTACAACATCTGTGTGTTCTGTGTACAACATCTGTGTGTTCTGTGTATGACCACTGTGTGTTCTGTGTTTGACCACTGTGTGTTCTGTGTTTGACCACTGTGTGTTCTGTGTATGACCACTGTGTGTTCCGGTTTGACATCTGTGTGTTCTGTGTATGACCACTGTGTGTTCTGTGTATGACCGCTGTGTGTTCTGTGTATGACATCTGTGTGTTCTGTGTATGACATCTGTGTTTTCTGTGTATGACATCTGTTTGTTCCGTGTTTGACCACTGTGTGTTCTGTGTATGACATCTGTGTGTTCTGTGTTTGACATCTGTGTGTTCTGTGTATGACCACTGTGTGTTCTGTGTATGACCACTGTGTGTTCTGTGTTTGACCACTGTGTGTTCTGTGTATGACCACTGTGTGTTCTGTGTATGACCACTGTGTGTTCTGTGTTTGACCACTGTGTGTTCTGTGTATGACCACTGTGTGTTCTGTGTATGACATCTGTGTCCTGTGTATGACCAATGTGTGTTCTGTGTATGACTATCATGTGTCCTGTGTATGACCACTGTGTGTCCAGTGTATGACTATCATGAGTCCTGTGTATGACATCTGTGTGTTCTGTGTATGACCACTGTGTGTTCTGTGTATGGCCGCTGTGTGTTCTGTGTATGACATCTGTGTTTTCTGTGTATGACATCTGTTTGTTCCGTGTTTGATCACTGTGTGTTCTGTGTATGACATCTGTGTGTTCTGTGTTTGACATCTGTGTGTTCTGTGTATGACCACTGTGTGTTCTGTGTATGACCACTGTGTGTTCTGTGTTTGACCACTGTGTGTTCTGTGTATGACCACTGTGTGTTCCGGTTTGACATCTGTGTGTTCTGTGTATGACCACTGTGTGTTCTGTGTATGACCGCTGTGTGTTCTGTGTATGACATCTGTGTGTTCTGTGTATGACATCTATGTTTTCTGTGTATGACATCTGTTTGTTCCGTGTTTGACCACTGTGTGTTCTGTGTATGACATCTGTGTTTTCTGTGTTTGACATCTGTGTGTTCTGTGTATGACCACTGTGTGTTCTGTGTATGACCACTGTGTGTTCTGTGTATGACCACTGTGTGTTCTGTGTATGACCACTGTGTGTTCTGTGTTTGACCACTGTGTGTTCTGTGTATGACCGCTGTGTGTTCTGTGTATGACATCTGTGTTCTGTGTATGACATCTGTGTGTTCTGTGTATGACATCTGTGTTTTCTGTGTATGACATCTGTGTGTTCCGTGTTTGACCACTGTGTGTTCTGTGTATGGCCACTGTGTGTCCAGTGTATGACTATCATGTGTCCTGTGTATGACCACTGTGTGTTCTGTGTATGACTATCATGTGTCCTGTGTATGACCACTGTGTGTCCAGTGTATGACTATCATGTGTCCTGTGTATGACATCTGTGTGTTCTGTGTATGACCACTGTGTGTTCTGTGTATGGCCGCTGTGTGTTCTGTGTATGACATCTGTGTTTTCTGTGTATGGCATCTGTTTGTTCCGTGTTTGACCACTGTGTGTTCTGTGTATGACATCTGTGTGTTCTGTGTTTGACATATGTGTGTTCTGTGTATGACCACTGTGTGTTCTGTGTATGACCACTGTGTGTTCTGTGTTTGACCACTGTGTGTTCTGTGTATGACCACTGTGTGTTCTGTGTATGACCACTGTGTGTTCTGTGTTTGACCACTGTGTGTTCTGTGTATGACCACTGGGTGTTCTGTGTATGACCACTGTGTGTTCTGTGTATGACCACTGTGTGTTCTGTGTTTGACCACTGTGTGTTCTGTGTATGACCACTGTGTGTTCTGTGTATGACCGCTGTGTGTTCTGTGTATGACATATGTGTGTTCTGTGTATGACCACTGTGTTTTCTGTGTATGACATCTGTGTGTTCCGTATTTGACCACTGTGTGATCTGTGTATGGCCACTGTGTGTCCAGTGTATGACCACTGTGTGTTCTGTGTTTGACCACTGTGTGTTCTGTGTATGACATCTGTGTTCTGTGTATGACATCTGTGTTTTCTGTGTATGACATCTGTGTGTTCCGTGTTTGACCACTGTGTGTTCTGTGTATGGCCACTGTGTGTCCGGTGTATGACTATCATGTGTCCTGTGTATGACCACTGTGTGTTCTGTGTTTGACCACTGTGTGTTCTGTGTATGACCAATGTGTGCTCTGTGTATGGCCGCTGTGTGTTCTGTGTATGACACCTGTGTGTTCTGTGTACGACATCTGTGTGTTCTGTGTATGACCACTGTGTGTTCTGTGTATGACCACTGTGTGTTCTGTGTATGACCACTGTGTGTTCTGTGTATGACCTCTGTGTGTTCTGTGTATGACCGCTGTGTGTTCTGTGTATGACATCTGTGTTCTGTGTATGACATCTGTGTGTTCTGTGTATGACATCTGTGTTTTCTGTGTATGACATCTGTGTGTTCCGTGTTTGACATCTGTGTGTTCTGTGTATGGCCACTGTGTGTCCAGTGTATGACTATCGTGTGTCCTGTGTATGACCACTGTGTGTTCTTTGTTTGACCACTGTGTGTTCTGTGTATGACCACTGTGTGTTCTGTGTATGACCACTGTGTGTTCTGTGTATGGCCGCTGTGTGTTCTGTGTATGACATCTGTGTGTTCTGTGTACAACATCTGTGTGTTCTGTGTACAACATCTGTGTGTTCTGTGTATGACCACTGTGTGTTCTGTGTATGACCACTATGTGTTCTGTGTATGACCACTGTGTGTTTTGTGTATGACCACTGTGTGTTCTGTGTGTGACCACTGTGTGTTCTGTGTATGACCACTGTGTGTTCTGTGTATGACCACTGTGTGTTCTGTGTATGACCACTGTGTGTTCTGTGTATGACCTCTGTGTGTTCTGTGTATGACATCTGTGTGTTCTGTGTATAACATCTGTGTGATCTGTGTTTGACCACTGTGTGTTCTGTGTTTGACCACTGTGTGTTCTGTGTATGACCACTGTGTGTTCTGTGTTTGACATCTGTGTGTTCTGTGTATGACATGTGTGTGTTCTGTGTATGACCACTGTGTTTTCTGTGTATGACATCTGTGTGTTCCGTATTTGACCACTGTGTGATCTGTGTATGGCCACTGTGTGTCCAGTGTATGACCACTGTGTGTTCTGTGTTTGACCACTGTGTGTTCTGTGTATGACCACTGGGTGTTCTGTGTATGACCACTGTGTGTTCTGTGTATGACCACTGTGCGTTCTGTGTTTGACCACTGTGTGTTCTGTGTATGACCACTGTGTGTTCTGTGTATGACCGCTGTGTGTTCTGTGTATGACATATGTGTGTTCTGTGTATGACCACTGTGTTTTCTGTGTATGACATCTGTGTGTTCCGTATTTGACCACTGTGTGATCTGTGTATGGCCACTGTGTGTCCAGTGTATGACCACTGTGTGTTCTGTGTTTGACCACTGTGTGTTCTGTGTATGACCACTGGGTGTTCTGTGTATGACCAAGGTGTGTTCTGTGTATGACATCTGTGTGTAAATTATTGATACTTTTGTGTGTGTTCTGAGAGAGAGAGAGAGAGAGAGAGAGAGAGAGAGAGAGAGAGAGAGAGAGAGAGAGAGAGAGAGAGGGAGTAGATATCTACAGTAAATTATTGATACTTTTCGTACTTATAATAGCGGTTCCCAATAAAATGTCCGGGGATCAAGTATTCACAAAAATGAATATCATAAAACGTAAACGCTTTATCCCTTGTTTCGTGAAATGATTTGTGTTCATTTTTCACTACCTCATGAAAGACTTTGCTCCACATTTTGGTGCCCATTTACAGTCAAGATGTTGATCACTTATCACTGCCCTGTGTGAACATGAGACATTGTGTGACAGATTGACAGACATAGAGACTGTTTGGTGTACTCACGGGCAGACAGTAGGAGGCAGACGGTGGACGTACGCATGTTGCTGATCGTGCACTCGCTGGACACTCGAGTACCTGTCGCCTGTCAAGCTGCCACGGCCCATCCTACAGGAAACCAGTCTATAGTACACTACTTTCAGATCCCGTGGAACACTGTGCGTTAGTGTAGATAAGAATGTTTCCCAGTACACAAGTGCATAGTCGCAGTGTGTGACCCCGTGGGGATCCGGGTTAGAATTGGCCCCCAGTAACCTATGCTTGTCGAAATAAAAGCGACAAAACCCTTTCCATATTCATAAGAAATATGTGTCAAAAGCTGTCCACTGTACGATATCCGACCATATCATGATCATATGTTTATCAATGCCTATCAATTAGTGATAACACCAGGAGTTTGCGAAAACGTGAGCGTATCCTGCCCCACCGTTGGCACCCTCACAAACACATGCAAAGGCAAGTCAAATATTCACTTGAAAAAACCTGACTACCTGTACAATTAGGTAACACTACACTGTAGGTACACTTGGCTTACACTAGACTACATGTACACTTAAGTAACACCCCACTGCAGGTACAGTCCGCTGTGCCGTTTATCAACATTCACGAAGCCGAGACCAGACTCACCAATAGCCAGTCAAACAACCAGTGGTACCAAGGGACAGTGCATGGTGTGGAGGTGTGGAGGTGTGGAGATGTGAAGGTGTGAAGGTGTGAAGGTGTGAAGGTGTCAGAGTGACGTATGCCTGAAGGAAATTCCTAGCACTCCTAATCTCCGGAGATGAGCCCAGAACACATGGCATGCACATTTTGCTACATACACTAAGACATGTAGCATTGGGTCTGGATCAGGCCATCTTATATTTTGGCTGGACTAACGAGTCTATGCATAGTCCAATCAAAATCGTCTAAGGCGCTGCGATTCGCTGTGCAGAGTGGCGTCCCTTGGGCACGCCAGAAACCTATTATTATTATTATTAAACATATTTTATTGTCCAAAAAGACAAAGGGATTGGGCACAAGTGCGGCACTTATTACCGCCTTCTCCCTATTACCGCCTTCTCCGCCAGAAACCTATAATTGTGGGTTCGAATCCCGGTTCGCCCCGATTATGTTTCTAGGTTTGTCAGCACCATACCCGTACTCGTGGGTTTCACCGAAGTGGTTTACGTCTGGCGAAATCGAAATCCGGTTCGTAAATTTCGGTCGATTGCAGGATTTACAAAGCATGTGTACCGCCAACTTGGCGTCAACAGACATTTTCCAAATCTTTTCATGTCTTTAATAAATGTGCTCACGTGATTTGATGCGCTTTGCGAAGTAAGACCCGTTTTATCATAATATAGATCTTGATTATCGATCGAACGTCCTGACTGGGCGCCGCCATTTTGTTTGAAGCAAATGCAAGCGATACGAGAGGTGGCATCTGATTGGTCAATAGGAGAGGCATAGAAGGGACATAACCCGTAATAGATCGAGCCAAGAAAATCCAGCCTAGTTCGGCAAGGGTGGAAACGTGACATTTACAGTCAGTTAACTCTCTTGCCTCGGGAAGATGGAATCAGGCCAAAAACGACAACATTTTACCGGTCTGTACCTGGGCTGTCTACATAATCAGTATCTGTACCTGGACTGTCTGCAACATCAGTATCTGTACCTGGACTGTTTACATAATCAATATCTGTACCTGGACTGTCTGCAACATATGTATCTGTACCTGGACTATCAACAAAATCAGTATCTGTACCTGGACTGTCCACATACTCAGTATCTGTACCTGGACTGTCTACATAATCAATATCTGTACCTGGACTGTCTGCAACATCAGTATCTGTACCTGGACTGTCTACAACATCAGTGTCTGTACCTGGACTGTTTGAAACATCAGTATCTGTATCTGGACTGTCTACATAATCAATTTCTGTACCTGGACTGTCTGCAACATCAGTATCAGTACCTGGACTGTCTACATAATCAGTATCTATACCTGAACTGTCTACATAATCAGTATCTGTCCCTGGACTGTCTGCAACATCAGTATCTGTACCTGGACTATTAACATAATCAGTATCAGTACCTGGACTGTCTACATAATCAGTATCTATACCTGAACTGTCTACATAATCAGTATCTGTCCCTGGACTGTCTGCAACATCAGTATCTGTACCTGGACTATTAACATAATCAGTATCTGTATCTGGACTGTCTACATAATCAATTTCTGTACCTGGACTGTCTGCAACATCAGTATCAGTACCTGGACTGTCTACATAATCAGTATCTATACCTGAACTGTCTACATAATCAGTATCTGTCCCTGGACTGTCTGCAACATCAGTATCTGTACCTGGACTATTAACATAATCAGTATCAGTACCTGGACTGTCTACATAATCAGTATCTATACCTGAACTGTCTACATAATCAGTATCTGTCCCTGGACTGTCTGCAACATCAGTATCTGTACCTGGACTATTAACATAATCAGTATCTGTACCTGGACTGTCTACATAATCAGTATCTATACCTGGACTGTCTGCAACATCATACCTGTACCTGGACTGTCTACATAATCAGTATCTATACCTGAACTGTCTACATAATCAGTATCTGTCCCTGGACTGTCTGCAACATCAGTATCTGTACCTGGACTATTAACAAAATCAGTATCTGTACCTGGACTGTCTACATAATCAGTATCTGTACCTGGACTGTCTACACAGTCACTATCTGTACCTGAACTGTCTGCAACATCAGTATCTGTACCTGGACTGTCTGAAGAATCAGTATCTGTACCTGGACTGTCTACGTAATCAGTATCTGTACCTGGAGTGTCTACATAATCAGTATCTGTACCTGGACTGTCTACATAATCGGTATCTGTACCTGGACTGTCTACATAGTCGGTATCTGTACCTGGACTGTCTACATAATCAATATATGTACCTGGACTGTCTACAACATCAGTATCTGTATCTGGACTGTCTACAGCATCAGTATCTGTACCTGGACTGTCTACATAATCAGTATCTGTACCTGGACTGTCTATATATTCAGTATCTGTACCTGGACTGTCTACATAATCAGTATCTGTACCTCGACTGTCTATAACATCAGTATATGTACCTGGACTGTCTATAACATCAGTATATGTACATGGACTGTCGACAACATCACTATGTATATTTATACAAGCAGTAACCGGACTATCTGTGACGTACTGTACGATGACTCGCAATCAGCTGACCTGACTCCCCGATCAATTAAGTTGCTAACTGAGACCAGCATGTGTTGCATTCCAACCTGGAAGTCCCACGGTGAATAAATTCTTAATATTCATCGCCGTGATACAGAAATTAATGTAAATCCATTTTGATCCTTGTTACTGGTGTTTAATACCACAGACATATTTACAGTACAGAAATCAGTGTCCGCATCGCTTAAATACAGGTCCATCATATGGTACTTGAAACATGCATTTCGTCATATTGGGCATGAATTTATCCAATCAGAATAGACTTCGGTGTTGACTTCAAGGGGAGGCCGTTCTCGTGACACTTTGCGGGGTTGGTCGGCTCCAGGTCAGGCTTGAAACATTTCATTTTGGCAAAAAGGCACCTTGGATAAAGAAACTTTGTGTCAGTAAAAAACAAAATAATACAAGGAAGTGCTGAGGTTCGTCTATCACTGAAACACACTGCAGGTCACACTTGTCTTTAACTACTACTACTACAACAACTACTGCTACTACTACCAAAACATCTACTACTACTGCTGCTTCTACAATAACAACAAGTACTACTACAACTACTATTACTACTACTACTACTACTACTACTACTACTACTACTACTGATACTACTACTACTACTACTACTACTACTACTACTGCAGCAACTACAACTACTACTATTGATGATTATGATGATCCTACTGGTTTGTGTACACCTTCCCATCCGTGGCACAGATGTCGGAGTCTACGTGATTCCCACAGATGATGGTGTTGATGTTGGTACAGAAAACGTCTTTGATCAGGTCATATCCCGGGTCATGGCCCCACGTGACGGTGCTTGGAAGGATGGTGGTCATGTGACTGGCTGGAGATGGCGTGACGTCACAGGCTCCTTTGTGATTGAACAGTATGGTGGAAGATGGCCGACATCTTGCTTTGGCAAACACGCAGCTGAATGTGGATGGAAAAATAGAAGCAGTATTTTGGAACTGCAAATATATAGTTTATTCGTGTAATAGTGGGAAAGTAATACATTTATATGTATGATGTGATCAAGATGTCATTTCTATATCTCCGGTCTAATATAGAATGAAAAGTAGCATATTCCTGGCGTAATATTGAATGTAAAGTAGCATATTCCTGGTGTACTATTGAATTGAAAGTTGATTTTCCTGGTGTGATATTGAATGGAAAGTAGGATCTCAATGCTGTAATATTGAACGCATAAATAGTCGAGCTGTATGGGCAAGCAGTATATCAATCAGTGGGGAGGGTGGATATGCCTGATGTGATATTATGTTATATTAAACTGCAGTTATGTGGAAAGGAATATATTCCTGATGTATCGGCGAATGCGGTAATATACCCAGGGTAATACTGAATGGAAATAGTGAGTGAGTGAGTATGGTTTGTAATATCCCAGCAATATCACGGCGGGGGACACCAGAAATGGGCTTTTACACATTGTACTCATGTAGGGAATTGAACCCTGATCTTCGGCTTGATGGGCGAATGCTTTAACCACCTGGCTACCCAACCGTCCTTTGAATGGAAATAACCAATATTCTATTCCTCATACAAATGTATACACTACGTTCCTCCATAAATCATACGGCCGAGATACAGCTTAGTCGCTTAGTGGAACCTACGAGTCAAACCACGGTCTGGTTCAAGGAGATGTGAACAAGGGAATGTTCAGACCAAGTAGCGTTCAGATTAAATCGGCCCTACACATTGCTTCCATATCAGCCAACGGGAGGGTTCGAAAAAGGTTCATCGATAGAATTGTGCTTATCCGACTATATAGATATACACGCAGTAGTATAGACGATGAGTGAGTGAGTGAGTTAGTGAGTATGGTTTTACGCCGCTTTTAGCAATATTCCAGCAATATCACGGCGGGGGACACCAGAAATGGGCTTCACACATTGTACCCATGTCGGGAATCGAACCCGGGTCTTCGGCGTGACGAGCGAACGCTTTAACCACTAGGCTACCCGACCGCCCCTTATAAAGACGATGAGGGTTGTATAGACGATGTATCACCCCACCCTGGAACAGGTCCAGCTCCTGACAATGTGCCCTCACTTCGTTGCCAGACTCACAATAGACACGTGTCACTGCTACACATATACCGGTAGTGTGTATTCACGGGTGAGAGGGAACGTAGTGAATGGAAACCCCTGAAGGGTTGAAGATGATGGCTACCAGGAACTTGTGGTTCGCTGATTCTGTTTGCATCCTCCACATTTAGGCCTACTCATTTACGATTATTCTGCCCCTGAACACACTCACTGGTCGGGGTAGGTGACTTGGTCGGTGCCACACATTGTCTCGTGGTCTGTGACTTTGTGAAGACTGCAGTCAAATTTCAAGATGGCGGCGCACAACGTGGCGGAGAAAGGATTTTTGTGTGGGTGGTTGAGGACCTCTTCCACTGGCCTCGCATGAGCATTCAGTGTCCATTGAATATCGGACAGAAGCACTAAAACATATTTTGGTTACACTCCATAACATACACAATTGGGTTACATTACAGTTTATGTATAGATAATGCTATAAGTACATTTGGGTAACATAATATGTCAAAAACATAGGAGATAGGGGGTCAATTTGCGTTACTAACACTTGGTAAAATCTGTTGGCCAGACATGCGATTTCTTCAAGACATGCTTCTGATGAGTCGACCAATGTCAGCTTACCTTATGTTATTCCACTCATCAGTAAGAGCAACACAGAGTTCATTAGAGTGTTAGGTGGATTTTGACGTTGACGTAACCGTCTGTCAATGACATCTCAGGCATGTCCAAAGGGGGGTAAAAAAGTGCTGTGTGATGGCCATGGCATGACATTGAGGTTTTGCTGTTGAAGGTATTGGGTCACGATCCTTGCACGATGGGTACGTGCATTTTCATGTTAAATGTGCAAATGGCACTAGGAGCGTGTCCGTGACTGCCATGGACAATATGAAGCGCAGTCCAGCCAGTCATTGTGATACCAATCAATACCATTATGGCCCCACCCCAAAACGATCCTGCTGTATGACGTTAACGCCCATAAAACCCTCATAGGTCGTCTCCAAACTCGATTCCTTCGGTCAGGGAAGTTGAGAGTGAACCGAGAATCGTCAGGACACATGGCAGTAGCCCAACATCGATTTTCCCACTTCTGACGTTACTCCATAGACGCCTCTGATTTAAATGACGTGCAGTACGTTGTGGGATGACATGTGGACGTCGTGCACGTAAATGCCATCTGTGTAGACGATTTCGCACCGTCTGGGCATGTACTCTCACAACATTTGCCTGTTGCAACCGATCCGTAATCGGAGTGGCGGTTTGCAAGGAATTTCTTAATGCCATCATTCTGATTAATCTGTCCTGTGCCGGAGTTGTTGCCCTTGGGCGTCCGGAGCGGTGGCAAGTACTGACGTTAGGCGTTTGTTGGTATCGAGCCCACAATCTGCTGATGACATACAGTAAACTACGTTTATAACGAACATGTTTATAACGAACTGACGGATATAACGAACTTATTTTTTGGTCCCGGCCATTTGATGTATATATGCTGTATATATGCTTTTAACGAACTACGGTTATTACGAACTAAAATTAGTGGTCCCTTTGAGTTCGTTATAACCGTAGTTTACTGTATTGAGAAACATTAATAATTCTGACGTGTGCCCATTACTGCAATGTCGCTTCCTTAATGATTAAATGTGTTAATAAAGTGTCTTTGGGTGTTTGGTTCCAATAAAGAATATGCCAAAAATATGTCATACCACCCCTTACACGTGCTGTCCGAGGTCATGACTGTGACAGTGTTGTGTTTGGGTGATTGATTTCTCCAGACATTTTCATAAATCAATTACTTTCATGGCCAGAACCTATTCTTTCACCTCAAAACAAAATATCTCCTACTAATTTTGCGTAGTACAGTCAAGTCTGGTTAATCCGACAGTTGGTTTTATCCGACACTAATGATGGGAACCGATTAAATCAGTTCTATTTAGCTTCGTTAATCCGAGGGTCTCGCACTCCGACTCCAGCACACCTAATTTGCAACGAATTACCGAAATCACTCATTAATAAGCCTCGTTAATCCGACACAGTGATCAGCGTACTCCATGGTCATCTGCCCGCAAGCCCTGTGTTTTGATGCGAGTCGAGCCGGTTGATAGCTGCATATTACAACGGCAGCAGAGGTAAACTTGCTTAACAATAAACACTAAACTACCTTACACTTGGGTAACACTACACTGTAGGTGCACTTAGTTTACACTAAACTACCTTACACTTGGGTAATACTACTCTGTAGGTGCACTTAGTTTACACTAAACTACCTTACACTTGGGTAACACTACACTGTAGGTGTACTTAGTTTACACTAAACTACCTTACACTTGGGTAATACTACTCTGTAGGTGCACTTAGTTTACGCTAAACTACCTTACACTTGGGTAATACTACTCTGTAGGTGCACTTAGTTTACACTAAACTACCTTACACTTGGGTAACACTACACTGTAGGTGCACTTAGTTAACACTAAACTACCTTACACTTAGATAACAGTACACTGTAGGTACACTTGGTTCCCACTAAACTACCTGTACACTTAGATAACAGAACACTGTAGGTGCACTTAGTTTACACTAAACTACCTGTACACTTAGATAACAGTACACTGTAGGTACACTTTGTTCCCACTAAACTACCTGTACACTTAGATAACAGTACACTGTAGGTACACTTTGTTCCCACTAAACTACCTGCACACTTAGATAACAGTACACTGTAGGTGCACTTAGTTTACACTAAACTACCTTACACTTGGGTAACACTACACTGTAGGAACACTTGGTTCCCACTTAACTACCTGTACACTTAGATAACACTACACTGTAGGTACACTTGGTTCCCACTAAACTACCTGTACACTTAGATAACACTACACCGTAGGTACACTTGGTTCCCACTAAACTACCTGTACACTTAGATAACAGTACACTGTAGGTACACTTGGTTCACACTAAACTACCTGTACACTTAGATCACAGTACACTGTAGGTACACTTTGTTCACACTAAACTACCTGTACACTTAGATAACAGTACACTGTAGGTACACTTTGTTCCCACTAAACTACCTGTACACTTAGATAACAGTACACTGTAGGTACACTTTGTTCACACTAAACTACCTGTACACTTAGATCACAGTACACTGTAGGTACACTTTGTTCATACTAAACTACCTGTACACTTAGACAACAGTACACTGTAGGTACACTTGGTTCCCACTAAACTACCTGTACACTTAGATAACAGTACACTGTAGGTACACTTTGTTCACACTAAACTACCTGTACACTTAGATAACAGCACACTGTAGGTACACTTTGTTCCCACTAAACTACCTGTACACTTAGATAACAGTACACTGTAGGTGCACTTAGTTTACACTAAACTACCTTACACTTGGGTAACACTACACTGTAGGAACACTTGGTTCCCACTTAACTACCTGTACACTTAGATAACAGTACACTGTAGGTGCACTTGGTTCCCACTAAACTACCTGTACACTTAGATAACAGCGCACTGTAGAAACACTTGGTTCCCACTTAACTACCTGTACACTTAGATAACAGTACACTGTAGGTGCACTTGGTTCCCACTAAACTACCTGTACACTTAGATAACACTACACTGTAGGTACACTTAGTTAACACTAAACTACCTGTACACTTAGATAACACTACACTGTAGGTACTCGAGGCGTACACATTACTGCAGTTCACTTCACTTATTGTCTTGCTTGACGTTTTATTTTTACACAATACAACCGGTTCCCATGGGTAACACTATATGTTAGGCACACTTGGCTTACACTATTCCACATGCACGCCTGGATAATATGCATCTGTAATTCGCTATTGTTTTCAAAAATAAGTCGCAACTTTTTTCAGAAGACTTTTGAAGGGGGTGTGGGGGTGTGGAGGGTGCTTGTAAGCCTTAAGACATCCGATTTACTGACTTATCTTAGCTGAGTACCATTTACCTTCAAAAGTGGGTCGTTAGAGTCTGACGCAAATCGGGCCCTCGTTTCCGGAAATAAACCCCCGCCCCCTCTCAAAAACCAAAAAAAACCCAAAAAGACTGATTCATTTTAGCTAAATTTCTCCAAACAAACTTATCAAGAATTCAGCTGTTGGACACGAGTGACACGACGTATAGAATCGTTATGGAATCTAAATCTAAGATATAAATCTTCCCCTAACATGTATTCCAGGTTTTTTATTACAATCGATAAGCCCCCTAGAAAAAAACAAGTCTCCTTCTCGATCTCCGCTGTCTATTAGCAATCGCCATTTTGTATCAGTATTAAAATTTAAGTAACCATGTAAGCTAACTTAAGTTTTACGCGGTTTCGACATCTTTTGGAGTAAACAAATGAACTCAGTTTTGTTTTAGAAATGCATTTTGACGAGTTTACTCATTAAAAACTTGAACTTAAGTTTGTTTCGAGAAATAACTGCATATAAACGCAGTTACATCTCGTGGTAGAGTTACAGACTTAAAGACGCTGTACCATGTTATCACAATCAAGAAGTTGAGGCCAGACTCACCAATAGCCAGCTGAACACACAGCAGTACCCGAGAAAACCGCATGCTTTGTTTCAAGTGTGGAGAAGTCAGCGTGGCGTGCTGGTGGAGAAAAGTCTTTCCAATGCTGACCTCTTGAGATAAGGCCAAGCACTTTTGACATATATTGAATGATATTGCTTAAAGCCTGTTAACTTTTTGTAGAATCTGGTTTGTATGAGGTCAAATCCTTAAGGACAGAGGCACATGTATATTTTTAGTAAATTTATAGTACCTAATAAAGTCGATATATTGAATTTAATATCATATATACAAATATGAAATTTTGGAGCTCGATAGTCACATGATGTTGTTGTACAAAGGCATTGCAAACTGTTTGTTGTCGTGTCACATAAGGCCACAAGGTAGCACTGATCTCAGTATCTCGTGTGACAGCCCCGGGCAACAATCACGGCTCTTCATCTCCTCGGCGCTGACTGGATAAGTGTACGAATTCTGTCCTGCGGAAATCTGTGTCATTCTGTTTGTAACGCGTTGGTCAGTCTCGACGGCCAGGGCAAGTCGTTGATGTTGGCATTATGAAGGTAGTCTACCGTGACACGAGCTGTGAACGGTGGAGCGTTGTCCGGTTGAAACAGCTCACTTTGGCGGTCAATGTTTGGTAGAAGTTGAGGTTGTAGAATTTGATTCATGTAGCGATTGGCTGTCAAATCTCCCTGAACCACAACCACGTCAGATCTCGTGGAGTAGGATATGCCCCCTCCCCAATCCCCAACCATGACACTGAAATTGTCGAATTCAGGAACACAATATGGGGCAAAACGCTCATTTCGACAACGATAAACACGTTGTCTTCCATCTCGCCGGTGAAGAAGAAATTTTGATTCATCGCTAAATCATACCCGTCTCCTGTCGATGGATCTGTTGCAAAACAGGGACGATAACTGGTCTTCTGGATCGCATTCCAGCCTCGCGAAGATGGTTCCTGACAGTCTGGTCCGATATCCCCCTCAAACCAGGGGTGCGTCCTGTAGTCTCCGTAGCTGTTGCATTGCGATGACGTAGGTTGAACAGTCGAATGTAGCGATCCTGTGCAGGGGTGGTAACTCTTGGTCGGCCTGTTCTCGGACGGTCTGCAGTGCAATTGAACTGTGTGTATCGGTCACAAAGGCGGCAAATAATGCTGTGGTGGACTTTGAAGTGGCGTGCAACAGAAGAGGCGATTGCCCTCTTTTGCTACGTCCTATGGCGATGTTCCGATCGGCAGCTCTGAGTCTCGGCATTTTCAAACTTATTGGCTTGTGCTTTCCTTTTCATAGCCACTAACACGAGTTACAAATGCCATAACTTGCACATGGATTTTGCTTTACTGTTTTCCTCTATGACATTTTTGAACAAGTGTGAAAATAATGTGGTTTAAAACATTGCAAATCGACAATGGCTGCATTTTAACGCACCTTTTGTCGAATATCAGGCCACATTTTCCAATAACAGATATCCAATTTATATACCGCATTGTTTGTGTTGTCAGGTTCTACATACTACCTGTGCGTTTCTATTTTTGAAAAGTGTACATGTTCATTCCCAAGCTGAAACGCGAAGAATAAACAGAACTCAATTCTGGAATCAGTAAACAACCACATAAAATAAATGAACAATCACCAAATTATATTAAAACACTCAGGATTATGTCTACAAGCATAAAAGGCAATGCAAAGGGTCAAATATATGGCTGCAGCAATAAATAACAGGCCAGGGCCCTGTTACACAAGTCTGTGCACTCACGAATGTCCAGAATGTGTCATGGTCGAATGTCTTGGACGAGGTACGTGCTCCGTTCTGGAACCCAGAAAACACTAAACAGCAGGAAACCTCGGAGCTTTCCGAAAGGTATCTTGTCCGGGCTTGGCAAGTAAATAAGTCGCGAGACAAATCGTAGAATGAGGCTCTCGCTCTCATATAAGGCCGGGCAAAAGAAAACATACACTTACAAACTGTCGTCCAAATTGTGCCCTGCAAGGTTCTTAAGACGTCATACGCATGTCATCAGTCGTGAGATATTCATGGATATGATGCATGTCATATCGCCGATCAAAAGCATTACCATCAAATAATCATTTCTTTTTTGTTTCACTTTTGGCCACCATCAAATATGGACGTACACTTTCTTTTGCTGCGCATTTAGGTGCAGACAGTCTTCTACAAACTTCGAGAAGTCAATCAGTCCTGTAAGTGAACAACAGTAAAAACGCGGAGTTATCTATACCGGGAGAGTAAAAAAATAAAAGCGAAAAACCCTTTCCATATCTATAAGAAATCTCTCCCAAAAGCAGACTCTATTGAACGATTCAGACTATATCGTGAGTATGTGTTTATGAATCCCCATAAAAATGATGATACCAGGTGTTGGTGGCACCCGTCACAAACACACGCAAAGACGAGTCAAGGACTGGGATGGAGTTTGGACGATTACCAACCATGAGAGCATCACCAACAGAACACTTGATATTTTATGTGCACCTGCCACTAGCAATCATCAGAAATAGTCACAATATTTACTGACACAGTATTCTCTCCCCTTCATGATCCAGAGAAGAGAAGTTTAGGTGAACACCTCTTTAAAAAGGACACTTTTTCCATATTAAATATATTAAATGAACATAATATACATGTTTCCATGTTAAATGCATAAATAACTGCATGTGTGTACATGTCTGCTAATGTGTCTTAGCCCTTGACCCCGTGGGGACCTGGGGTAGAATGTGTTCCCAGCACCCCATTGCTGGTCGTAAGGGGCGACCAAATTACGCTACCGGGTTTGCAGTAGGATTTGTCCCTGTGTCGGCGCAGGGCTGCAGTCTGGTGGTTGGGGGTACTGGTTCCAGGAGTGGCGTTCCTTTGCTCAATACACCACTTCGATCCATACTTCGCCTAGACGGGTGGTAGGATGGGCCCGGTTCTATCAATCGGCTAGTCATGGCAAGCCCTGAGCACCTACACCTATGATTCAATCTCTTTTGAGGATGAGGACCCTCCAACACCCTTCATCAAACCTGATAATTGGGCGCGATTCCTTGTCATGTCTTCTCTTGATGTCTGTCTTCTAAAGTCGAAGACCGCCTCCGTGGTCTAGTGGAGCGTCCGCCCGGAGAACGGAAGGTCCGGGGCTCGGTCCCCGGCAGCGTCATACCAAAAGACGTTAAAAGATGGTACTTGTTGTTACCCTGTCTGACGCTCGGCATTAAGGGGATAAAACAAGGACTGGTCGGCTCGGAGTCAGTATACTGTGTCTGAGTGGGGTATTCATGTTAAACTGCGGCATGATATCTCGGTGAGCTAGCACTATAAATCGGCATCAGTCCGGACTAGAACAAGCAGCCACACAGACACACACGTGCATGCACGTCGCTATATAAGTGCAATAATCTGGGACGCGACGTTAAACCCCATTTCACCTCACCTCACCTCCAAAAGATTACCCTATGTGGAAAATGCAATAAAAAATATTGTGAATCAAGCATGAGAGTAATATCTCTTTTCTGGATGAACAGAAAATTGTCCTAGCTCTGGAAAAAAACGGATGTCATATGAAGCTGCTGTTGTTTCTGTTTCAACTCCACCTCCTGCTATTGTTCCTAGAACTGTTTCGTGCCATTCAGTAGATGACAAGATCCAAATGTTCAATAAGTATGGATCCCTTGAGGATATGGATGTGTCTGACAACGGACATCATAGGACACAAAGCTTATCGCCCTCCAGGAAGGTAAGGGGTAGATATCCTGTCAATGCTCCGAAGAGATAGCTTCTTCACATATATTGTAATGGAATTGTAGAGAACTGAGGACTAATTTATTGAGTTACAGCTCTTTGTTCAGGATTCAGCAGTGTGTCTACAAGAAACCTTATCTAAAGCAGACACATCATTTTAACTAACGTTAGTTTCATGCATGTCGTTATTTTTCTCCTCTGGGAGATAGGGTTACTGCTACAGGTACTGATAAAATTCATTATCAGTTACACAAACATTTACCTGATTCATGGAAAGAAACATTGTCAAATATGTTTTATCATATCTGGAGAACGGGAAATTTCCCTTCATAATGACCTTATTACTAATATTCAAAGTGTTTTTCGAAAAAATAGATGTATAATTGTCCATTTGGTTAGATAGGAAACATTTGTTAAAAATGCTATCATCAATAAACAACACACAGCAGTTTTCGATTTGGAAAAAGTGTCTGATACAACCTTGAAACATGGAATTTTAAAAGAACTTCATCAAATTAGATTGAGAGGAGGTTTGCCTTATTCCATATCAGAGTTTTAACAGGTGGAAATTTCCAGGTACGTGTGTGATCCACCTTGTCTGATGTTTACGATAAAAAAGATCAGGGTGTCCCACAAGGTAGCATATTATCGGTAACTTTGTTTGGTATAATAATTAATAGTTTATCTTAGGTGTTAAATGTTGATTTGCCGATGCTTTCAATGTTTCATGTCAAGGTAAACATATGCACACCATTGAGAGACAGCTGCAGCTTTGTCTTAATAAAATTTAGGATTGTCAGATGAGATCGGCTTTCAATTTTCCAAAACATATTGCATTCAGTTTTTGTCAAAAATATAAACCACATAAGGACCCAGACGTACTATTAGCGGGCACTCAAATTAAAGTTGTAAATGAATCTAAATTTTGGAGAATAAGTTTTGATCATCATCTTACTTTCTTACCACATATTACATATCTGGGCCCACTTGCACAAAGCGATCTTAGCGCTACAACTATTGTAAGCCTATGTTAAAGTATGGGAGTTACGATCATCTTAGCGCTAAGATCGCTTTGTACAAGTGGGCCCTGAAAGCTAAATGTCTGAAGCCACTAGTTCTAGGTTAATTAAAAAATGTTTCTAATTCCAAGTGGGGAGGAGATCAGTTGACCCTTCTTCACTTGTATAGATCAGTTATCTGTTCTAAACTCGATGATAGCGCCATCATTTATGGTGTTGCTTCCAAAAAGTAACCTTAAATTACTCGATCTAATGCATCAGCAAGGTCTAAGATCACAAAATTATATTCAAATGACTCAAACCCTGCATACCAACGTGTGATTAATCCCCTTCGTGAGGATCTTTACAAAAACATGTCATCTATTATACCGCCTCTTGGAATAAGAATTAAACCTTTTATTTCCGCTGCTAATATTGAACGCAATGACCTTACCTGACTACCCGATCGATTCAGTTACTAATTGACACCAGCAAGTATTGCGGGGAATCCATTCCAACCTGGAATTCCAATGTTGAATAAAATCTTAATTTCCATCGCCGTGATACAGAAAACAATGTAAATTCATTTTGATCCTTGTTACTGGTGTTTAAATACCACAGGCATATTTACAGTACAGGAATCACTGTCAGCATTGCTGAAATACAGGTCCATCATATGGTACTTGAAATATGCATTTCGTCACATTGGACGTGAATTTATCCAATCAGAGTAGACTTCAATGTCAGCTTAATGTGGGAGGAAACCCCGAAGTGATGCAGGTCTCAGACGTTTACCACTTCGGTGAAATCCACCGGCACGGGTATGGTGCTGACAAACCAAGAAACATAATTGGAGCGAATCGGGATTCGAACCCACAATCAAAGGCTTCTGGCGTGCCCAAGGGACGCAACTCTGCACAGCGAATTGCGGCGCCTTAGACGACTGGGCCACCCGTGCCCACTACAACAATTAAGCCTGACATGGGGGTCATGATCTTTCCCAACAACAGCAACAATCTTACTGGTTCGTGTACACCTTCCCGTCCGTGGCACAGAGATCGGAGTCTACAGTGTTCCCACAGACGATGGTATCGATGTTGGTACAGAAAACGTCTTTGATCAGGTCATATCCTGGGTCATGGCCCCACGTTGCGGTGATTGGAGGAATGGTGGTCATGTGACTGGCTGGAGATGGCGTGACGTCACAGGCTCCTTTGTGATTGAACAGTATGGTGGAAGATGGCCGACATCTTGCTTTGGCAAACACGCAGCTGAATGTGGATGGAAAAATAGAAGCAGTATTTTGGAACTGCAAATATATAGTTTATTCGTGTAATGTAGAGTGGGAAAGTGATACATTTACATTCTTGGTGTAATCTTTAATAGAAGTATAGCATTCCTGTGTTAATATTGAATGGCAAGCATAGTATTGACTATTGAATGGGAAGTGTTAGAAATGAATGAAAATTAGTATATTCCTTGTGTAATATTGAATGAAAATTGGTATATTCCTGGTGTAATATTGAATGGAAAGTAGTATATTCCTGGTGTAATATTGAATGGAAAGTAGTATATTCCTGGTGTAATATTGAATGGAAAGTAGTATATTCCTGGTGTAATATTGAATGGAAAGTAGTATATTCCTGGTGTAATATTGAATGGAAAGTAGTATATTCCTGGTGTAATATTGAATGGAAAGTAGGTGCCCAATACTGTAATATTGAACAAGTACATATTATAGTTGAGCAGTCCTAAAGTATGAGCAAGCAGTATATCCATTGGCAATATTGAAGGGAGGGTGGATATGCCTGATGTTATGTTATATTGAACTGCAGTTATGGTGAATGGAAAGTAATATATTCCTGATTTATCACCGAATGTGGTAATGTACCAAGGGTAATATTGAATGCAAATAGCGCTTGAGTGAGTATGGTTTTAGGCCACTTTTAGCAATATTCCAGCAATACCAAGGCCGGGAACACCAGAAATGGGCTTCACACATAGAACCCATGTGGGGAATCGAACCTGGGTCGAACCTTCGGCTGGACGATTGAATGCTAAAACGCAGCCCCTTGAATGGAAATAACCAACAGTATATACTTTATAAAACTGTATACACTACGTTCCTCCATTCTTCGTGAATACATGTGGTCGCGATGTAGTGTAGTTGCTAGTTGGAACCATATCAGCCAACGGTAGGATTTGCAAAAGGTTCATGGATGGACTTGTGATGATTTTACTTCAGTGAGTTACACACGGAGTAGTATAGACGATGGGGGTTCTACATCATAAGGACCAGGTCCAGCTCTTGACAATATGCCCCCACTTCAAAAACGGACTTGTGTCACAGCTACACCGTATACCGTGTATTCACGGGTAATGAGGAACTTATTGAATACAAACACGTAAAGTGTTGAAGATTATCAGAGTTCATCAAGCACAAGTCATGGCTACCCGGCTTCTGTTTGCATCCTCTACATTTAGGCCTACTCATTTACGATTATTCGGCCCTGAACACACTCACTGGTCGGGGTAGGTGACTTGGTCAGTGCCACACATTCTCTCATGACCTGTGACTTTGTGTTGACTGCAGTCATACTTCAAGATGGCGGCGCACATCGTGGCGGAGAAGGGATGTCCGTGGGTGTGATTGAGGACCTGTTCCACTGAATGCGTCGCCCTTGCATCACCACTCAGTGTCCATTGGATATCGGACAGAAGCACCAAAACATATTTTGGTTACACTACATAACATACACTACAATATATGTAGACGTTGGTACATTACGCTATAAGTACACATTGGGAATATAATATGCCACAAACGTAGGAGATAGTGGCTCAACTTCGAAATTTGCACTCATCAGTGAGAGAAACACCGAGTTTGCACTTTGCTGGTACTTTACTATTATCGGGTAAAATCAACTCTGCTGGACAGACATGCATAAAGTTCTTCCAGAGATGCTTCTGGTGAGTCGACCTATGCTGGCTTGACTATTGTTGTTCCACTTATAAGTAAGAGCAACAGCGAGTTCATTGAGAGTGGTAGGTGGGTTTTGACGTTGACGTTGACTGTCTGCCAATGACATCCCAGGCGTGTTCAATGGGGGGAAAGGCCTGAACTGAGTGTTGGCCATGGCATGATATGGATGTTTTGCTGTTATAGGAACGGGGTCACAATCCTTGCACGATGATCATGTGCCTTTTCATGTTGAAAGTTGAAACGTTGCCCAACACATTGTGCAAATGGCACCACGAGTGGTGCAATGATGTTGACCTGATAGTATTGACCTGTGACTGCCATAGACAATATGAAGCGAAGTTCGGCCGGTCATTGTGATACCACCCCATACCATTCTGGTCTCAATCCACGATCATGCTGTACGACGTTAACGCCCATAAAACGGTCATTAGGTCTTCTCCAAACCCGATTCTCTGGTCATGGAAGTTGAGAGTGAACCTCGATTCGTCAGAAAACATGACTATAGCACATTATATCCATTATCCCAGTGCTTACATTCCCTACACCGTATCGTGCATGTAAATGTCATCTGTGCAGATGATGCACCGTCTGGGCATGTACTCGTACACCAGTTGCGTGTTGCAACCGGTCCGTTATCTGAGTGGCAGTTTGCAGCCGATTTCTTAATGTCATCGTTCTGATAAATCTGTCCTGTGCTGGAGTTGTTGCCCTTGGGCGTCCCGAGCATCGTCGATCGCCAACGTTATGTGTTCACTGTTATCGGGCCAACAATCTGCTGATGACAGACTGAGAAATATGCAGTGTTTAGGCAACTATATTCTGATGTGTGCCCACCTGCTACATGATTTTGCCATGTGTCGTTCAGCAAGTTGCAAAAGTCACTTGATCAATGCTCTTGCTTCCTTTGGGGCGGTCGGGTAGCCTGGTGGTTACGCCGAAGACCCGGGTTCGATTCCCGACATGGGTACAATGTGTGAAGCCCATTTCTGGTGTCCCCCGCCGCGATATTGCTGGAATATTGCTAAAAACAGTTGAAAACCATATTCACTCACTTATTCACTCACTCTTGCTTCCTTTGTGATTAAATGTGCTGAATAAAGTGTCTTTGGGCGTTTGGTTCCAATATAAATGTGTCTGCACACACCGAGTCCGAGTGCCAAATCTGTCATAACACCCATTTCACGTGCTGTCCGAGGCCACAAGCCTCAAGACTGTCACAATGTGTTTCAGAGCTTGATTTCTTCGGACATTTTCTTTCATTGCCAGACATTTGTATATGTTCCCTTTTCTTCCACCTCCAAACATACTACCCCCCTCTATTTTTGTATATTATACTCCATGGTAGGTACACTTGTGAACCACTACATGAAAAGCGCCTCAGTTGTCTAGTGGTCTGGAACCTAGTTTCTGCCCTGAAGGTATGTGGTTCGATCTCAGCTGAAGGATGTTATAACTTGTTGTTACCCTTCCTTGGGTTCGGCGTTAGGGGATACAATAAGGACTAGACGGATCAGAGTTATCATAATGTGTCTGAGTTGGTTATCTGTGTCATGGTGTCTTAGTTGACTAGCAGTATAAAACAGGCATTAGTGTGAAGCAGTACAAGCAAACTGAATACACACGTTGGTACAAAGGGATTTCATGATATTACATATTCACATGACTTATTCAATGCTAAAAGGTATCATTGACGTACACCAAACCAAGAGGCACTCTTTGCTGACAATGGACTAAAGGTACACTTAATTGGGATACAGCTTTAGTGATACTGTACTGTAGGTATTGGTTTACACTAAACTACCTGTTCAATTGGGTAACACTACACTGTAGGTACGCAAGGCGCACATATTATTGCAGTGCACTTGGCTTATTGTCTGGCTTGACGTTTAATATTTATACCTTACTACCGGTAAACATGGGTAACACGACATTGTAGATACACTTGGCTTAAGTACTTGGCTTGTACTTGTAGGTACACTAGAAATAAAGGAGATCAGTGAGACCGCCTCATCTTTTATATATTTAAATCTATGCATACAGATTCAGAGTAAGGAAACACTCTGCCCAGGAAACTGTCCACTGTCAACTTTCCCTTCATGTTGAGCAATACTCAAGCAGCTCCAGCCTTTGGTGTTTACATTTCACAACTTTTGAGATACAATCGATCATACTTTTTCTACCAAGATTTCAAAGAGCGCCATAAGGCTCTTGCTCAGAAATTGTTGATCAAAGTTACAACATTCAAGGTCTCAGTAAATCTTTCAAAATGTTTTGTGGTGGACATTTGTTGGACATTTCCAAATTTGACGCATCAGTGACAATAACGATGTCGGATGCAGTTCCTTATTTTGACTTTTACAATATGTTCCCTTGTTTTTTCAGGTGAACAATTGACTTGCTTTTGTGTGTGTGTGTGTGTGTGTGTGTGTGTGTGTGTGTGTGTGTGTGTGTGTGTGTGTGTGTGTGACGGGTGACACCGGTGAGGCAGGATATGCTCACCTTTTCGCGAACACCTCGTAATGTTACTTTTTGATAGTGATTCGTAAACACAAGTTTATGATGTGGTCAGAATCGTACTATCGATTCTGCTTTATTCAGAAATTTCTACTGGACATGGAAAGGGTTTAGTCGCTTTGTTTACTTAATTAAGTGAGCCAAACCACATGCACACTTGGATTACAAGTACACCTGATGTTCACACTCCAGTGACTCTTGTGACACAGGAGTCTTATCAAAACTCACGTGGCATGCATGTTATGTGCATTAAGTGTCAAACTAGATCACCTGACATGGACTCCTCGATGGAGTCACGGTCCTTTTATGCATGTTGGTGGGAAACTGATGCCAGTGGACGTTCACGCAAACATTCGCGTTTGCCTTCACAATTAAGTCACTTTTTATCAGAAGACTTTGTGCACCAATGTTTACAGCTTTAATGAGGTACATAATTAGTTGTTTCTTTTACTCCTAATTTAGCTATGCTTGGCTTGTACCTTGTTATTAATTGAAATTTAGTGGATGTGGAACTAACTTATTATGTTAAAGTCACCATCGTCTTTAGGGTAACATATTAAGAATGTTGAGGCACATGGTGCGAAGACAAGTCATTCTAACATTTGCACAAAACACTGCAGTCAATACTTATCAAGGGAAATATTCATACATATAACTCGTCAACGCCAGACAACAACCAGTCTCCATTGTCTGCTGAAACAGATTCTAATTGGCGTAAAAAGGCAATAGTGGTGAAACTTATATGAATGGATCACTAATAATCATTGCGGAAACCAGGGGTTCGCGAAAAGGGTTAGTATGTCCACATCTAATGCCATTGCTCAGTACAGCATGAAGTTGCGATATACGAGATCAATCAACTGATATTCCGGGAGAGAAGAGGGAGTGGGAGATTTTGTCGGGTGGGGTGGGGGTTGTTTGGTGGGTGGCTAGGGACAGAATAGTTGTTTTGTACTGACTTATCTGACCTGATACCTGCAGTCACATCACATGGTACAGTTACAGATTAAAAGACTCTGTACCATGTGTACAGATTCAAAAAGTTGAGGCCAGACTCACCTATAGCCAGCTGAACAAACAGCAGTACCCGGGAAAACCACATGCTTTGTTTCAGGTGGGGAGAAGTCAGCGTGGCGTGTACGTGGAGAATAGTCCTTGCAATGCTGACCTCTTGAGATAAGGCCAAGAACTTTTGACATATATTGAATGATATTGCTACACACGCTTAAAGAATCTGAACTATTTGTAGAACGTGGTTTGTATCAGGTCAAATCCTTAAGAAGAGACTTGAATGGTTCAACTATCAGTGTTATATTCTCAAGTTGAAACGCGAAGGTTAACCCAAAAATCGGTACGTACAGAACCTAATTGTGAAATCAGTAAATTGTTACTGTCGATTCCCATATTAAAACAATACGTGAAACCAACAAACAACCAACAAATGGTTTATAATCAACACATGTACTACAAAAAATCACTAATTTACAAATCAATACAAATTACTGCACAACAATTACAATGCCAGTACACAAGAGAGCAGTAGTACAATATTCAATGGCAATACATATTATGATAGCAGTGGTCTCGATCAAATACAAAAACACAGTGGTGATAGCAAAAGTCAGTGAAAATGAAATATATACACTTAGCAGCGACAGCAGGCAATCTTCCGAGGCAGGCCGAAGAAGGGATTCGGTGATGAGTGATCCACACACGAAAGCTGGTCTTAATGTGATGAAATGTGAGAGATACGTAAAACGACATTGTCCCGTTATATACAAGCTACTGGAAATGTCCATACCGTGCCCTCGCCGCATGAAAAAATTTCGATAACATACTGACACCGTCCGCGTATAACGGACCGGAAGTTTACACATCTAAATATAGTAACTTCTTGACAACTGATCACTGTAAAAAAATAATGCAATGAGCGTCTACTGAATCTAAACAGAAACAATGCAACTCAGTTACAATGATTGTTAAACAATAATACACTGACATATAACAAAATGAACACACAAGATAAATGAACAATCAACAGTTTATATTGAAACACACAGGATCATGTCTAGAATCGTAAAGGGTAATACAATGGGTCAAATGTATGGCAGCAACAATAAAT